TCTATCTATTTTAGAGTGCCATCGCATCCATCTCTTGGAGCGAGAAGAATGAAATGTCATTCAAGGCAATGACACAAAAGTACAGAGGTACTGAATCCTTGAACGCTGATTGAATGCGATTGAAAACGTCCTTCGATGGTACCTTGTCCATGAATCGCATTATTGATATTCTAAAGTCTGGTGTACCAGGTGAACTCTTTCTAAATGATGGTCCTGGCTTGTAGACATTATAGACGATCAAACCAATGTCCTTGCAATCCTTGATGTCCTCAGCAGCCTTGTCCTCCAACCTTGTCGATACATCAAACAGCCTAACACGACGATGACCGAGTTCATTGTCTGGTTGGTATTGAATGTCTGGGCAATGCGTAACAATGGCTTTTATTGATGTCGATGATCCTGATGCTGATGATTGAATGATGTCAAAGTCCAAAGATTCCAAAACAGATGATTGATGCCGCAGTGAGTCTCTATCATTAGTCCATGAATCATTGATGTTTGGTACGATCCACTCGACATTGTCTGGCTTGTAAGTGTAGACATCTTGGACATTGCATGGCCAGCTTTTCATGTTTCCACCAACTCCGACATCTCATTGAAGTCCGAACAGGAGCATCAACAGCAACAGCATGTTGAGGGACCCCTGATTGATGCAGGTCAGTAGCTCAATGGATGAAGTTGACAGGCTTTTAAACAGCACGTCAAAGTGGCGCAGCTCGGACAAGATCACATTTGCGTCCAGGGAGCAAGCGTCATCTGGGGTCAAGCAGGTCTTTCCAGGGTTCGCGTCCACCAAAGCATTGTATTCATCGTGCCAGCTCTCCTTTGCAAAGAGGTTGTTGGCCAATTCGAGTCGACAGGTAGCAGAGCGAATATTGGCCATCGACACTGTCTGAGTGAGCTCCTCCAGCTCAATGGGGATCGTTCCAAAGTCAACCTCGGTCCCAGGGACAGTGCAGTCTGGAGGATATGCGCGATGAGAAACCGAGTGTGCTCTCGATCACCAATGAGATCGTGGTCCTCGCCAATCCAGGACTGGCACACATTGACAAAGGTGAATCGGTTGGGTGTCCAAGGTCTAATGCAGAGAGGAAGTTCAACAAAGCATGTAGGAGCCAAGTAATGGACAGATTGGTAGTTTGTAAAGGCTGGCTGCCAGAGGCCAGTGTCATCGGCACCAGGGTTGCAAAGGTCTGCATGTGCTACAGTGAGCGATATCGCCAAGAGTGGATTGATTGACTGGAGTGTCTTGGCTATATTGTCCACATTGGCGGATTGGGGCAGCTGTGCATAGAGATCGACAGTCTGTAGATTGGTGCAAAGTCTGACCATATCGACTGTCATGGCCGCATCGCTCTCTTGGTCGGTGACATGGACAGAGAGTCGAAGTATGTTGTGTGGCGCGAGTAGTGTGCACTTGCTTACGCCGTAGACTATGGGAGGCATCCCATAGTATCGTGGCCAGTTGTTGAGAAAGATGTTGGTGACCATGATAAAAGAGAGCGGCGTCTCGGGCAGCGCACACCGCCACTGGGGCTGCTCCCAACCGTCATTGAGATCGAGCGAGAGATGCGTGAAGAAGCGATTCGTAATGTAGCGGAACCATTGCCAACACACCAATGACAGCGAGCCCAGCAGCTGGTAGAACTCCTGCGAGTATCTTACCTCTTTCGACATCAGTGACTCAACACTGCCGTGATTAATGCTCTCTCTGTGCACAGCAAAGACCTCTTTGAGCACGGCGAAGCTCAGACACGGATGTGATGCCTCCATCAGAGCTCAAGTCTCTCGAGTGCCGTCGACATTGTCAACAACGTGTAGTTCGGCGAATTATCTGTATGTTATTATCTCTTTTGGGTTGCCGATGATGATTGATTGATGATTGATTGAGATCAACTGACACAGATGGATACAAACATTTTTAAAAACCAGCTTCTGGGAGCATTTTGGTCAGCTGATCAGATACGACACACTTCAATGGCTAGTCATCACCTACCTCTGCTGCTGCAGTCAAACATCGTGGCGATTCTTGTTAAGGGCCATCCAACAGTCTACTTGACCTACCACCCTCACTGCCACAGAGGCTGGATGAACTATGCGCTAGTGTCGCGACATTGGTTCGAGCAGGCGATGCGCTGCATCAATGCCATCATCGATCCGATGGCGTTTGAGCGGCGTCTGTGCGATGACACATCATCATCCTTTCAGCGGTATGTGGCCCCGTTCGCCAAGCACCTCCACAACGTCCAAGCCAATCAACTCGAGTACTTTCCTCACTTCAGAAGCGTGTCCCACACCGTCTTCCCTTGGTCCAATGCCACCGAGCTCCACAACAAGCTGTCGTATCTGACCAACACTACCCAGGGCCTCCCCGTGTCCATCGCCATCAAGGCGAATGCCCTCTCACAGTTCATCGATCATCTTGTTGCCAATGATCATCTTCGAATCACTCAGCTCGCGACCACCAAGTTACAACCCAACATCATCGACCATGCTAGTCTCGCCACGGTCACTTCGCTCGTTGTCGATCCTTCCCTTTTTCGCTGTGAGAAGGCCACTCTTAGATACCAGTCACATTGGTTGGCAGGCCTGCTCACGTCGATGCCGCAACTGACCTCGATCGACAGCCGTTTCGAACCTCTCGACGCATCATCACTTCTGGTGGCATTCGGCTCAACGTCGCTCCAAGTGCTTAAGGTGTGGCTGCCAATGGACTGCAATATGCCGCGGTATTGGTCACATGACGACCAGGACAATGACAGGAGAGTGGAACACCTATTCGACCAGCTGGCGGCAAACCGCTCACTGCGAACGCTGTCATTGACAGCGGTTCAACACGAGCCCGATGATGAGCCAATGTATCCAGACGTCGAGGAGCACAGCCAAGCTCACTTTGCCCACTGCCTCACCAACGCACTCAAAAACAACGTATCATTGCGAAAGCTTGTTCTGTCTGGCCACTGCTCAGCTATTTACAAAAAGACCGTGTTGGATGGTGTCTTGCACAGCAGCACCATCACATCGCTGTCCCTGGTCAACTATGCACTTGGCAACCCCGACACACTCGCCTTTCTCTGTCAGACACTCATTGCCAGGAAGGGCGTCAACAGCAGCGGTTTTCTCACGCTGGACATCTCTAACAATGGATTCAGGGGTCCACAGTGTTCTCAGTTGATTGGCAGCCTCATCACGTCTGTCCGACTCGTGCGGAGACTCAAGATGATATTGAACCCTTTCAGTATGGAGGACTACCAGTCGATTCTCCACTCAGTCCAGGCAGCAAGCGACTCGCTTGAGTACCTCCACATCGACCCGCCGTCTACCAGCACCGGACTTTCGTCCGAGAACGCACCCTCTTTCATTGGCAAGGTTGCCATACTCGGCTGCAACGAGTGGTATACCGAAACAGAATGGTATGGAAAGTACAAATACCCAGAGCGCCTGTTCAGCTGGTGATCACCAATGTACGATCAAGAATCCATATCTTCCGTCCAGATGGAACCCAGTCTTCGTAACGACCACTTCCACGACCATGGCGAGGACAATACATTGTTCTATTTCGAGTGACACCAACAATCGAAATAAACAGTTGTAGATCTTCTGGAAACGCGCAGTCAGATCATTGTGTGGTCGCCTTGGAGTGATGGGTGAGGCCCCCAAGGAGACCCACCCAACTAGCTGCACTTCCTCGAACAATCTGGTGCTCGACGGGATCATCGCGATCACCATCCGCTCGTTCACGCGCGAGTTCTGCAAGGTGACCCCCTCCATTATCAAGCTTTTCCTTGTCGCTCCGAACAATGCAGCCCTCGTCGGGCGGTATCGAGATTCTGGACTTCAGCCGCTACCACATGGGCGCCGCCAGGGACTATTAACTTTGGAATTGACACAATTCTGCAATGAGAATTGAGTTTTATTTTTTCAAGATCTTTTTGGCAAGTACATCGATCAGGTCCTCGGCTGGATAGATGCATGTGAGCCCAAATGTTTGATGTATGCTTTGTGACGCTCTCTGAACTCCGAGTTGTCGTCCCAATAGTACTCTTTGAATAATGACATGTTATATCTGTTAGAGATAAATTGTTTAAGTTAATTTATTTGTGAGTTTCCAAAAAGGAACAACTAGATCATCTTCACCACAACCCCAAGTCTCAATTGGTGCTCACTCATTCACACAACAACATCAACAACAAATACTACCCATATCGATTGTAGACACCACTCTCTGTTATTTATTCAATAACAACAGTAGTACGATACTGTTTGTAAACATTGCTATTATGTTACCAGCAAACCTCAAAGAATGGACTCATGAACATGCCGTTGAATGGGTCCAAGATCGGATAAGAAAGTATCGCTACGATGCAGACGTGGCCTCCTTGCAGGACTTTGTTGATGGAGAGGAGCTTTATCTTGCTGGATCATCACCCGACGCGTTTGTTCGATGTTTCTCGGAGGCACCCCAACATATCCGAGATGATGAAACAAGAACAAGGGACAGAGAGATCGTTCTAGGTGTTCTCTTCAAAGATTTGCAAACGAGAACCTCTGCCATACCAGCTCGTAAGTACAAACAACATCGGCGCCGATGTCTTCATTCAATACTAACATACACACTCAAGCCGGTGCTGCAGGAGGAGCTGGTGGCCAAGCGCGTAAGTACAAATGAGAGCGAGTGATGTTCGATTGATTCTAACATTCATCAATAATCATACAGAGACACTTCAGCAGGTCTTGATAAATGGCATTGAGGAGATCAAGAGGTTGGTCAAACAGAAGAAGAAGGTCTCGGTTTCAAGAATCTCTCAGACCGATTTCAATCTGTTGAACCTCGGTGAGGTGCGTTATCTTCCCTACCATCAAGAAACAATCCCAACATACACCGCACTCGGTTGGGAGAAGGGAAAGGAGGATTCTAAAGAGAACATGCGCAATGTCCTTGCTAGATTCAAAGAGCTGACCACACTCCAAGGGGCCCACTTTGTTTCTGTTGCATCAAAGACTCTCTTCAATGAGGACATGGAGGATCTTGAGATCACTGGAGGAACAGACATTCTTGTTTGCAGATCCCCCATTCGTTCCCGTGACATTGCATTGACTCTGATGACAGAAACTCAGGTCCACATTGAACTCAAGAAGCCAACAAAGGTCAGGAAAACAGAATCTCTCCAGCAATTCCTCACTCAGCATCTTATCATACAGCTTCACTCCAAATTCTCAATCCTCTCATTGCTCACAGATATGGGCTCGAATTGGTTCATTGCCTGGACTATCACTCTTGGTGACAAATCAATGATTGCCACTTGCAATTTGCCATGGAATCACGCCATCAGATCCATCCAGCTCGTTGTACATAGAAACATGAGCCTCAATGTTGTCAACCCAGACAAGTGGAACATTACCCAGCTGCTGATCGAAAGCAACCTCATCACACCCCAGCCGACTGCTCAAATCGATGACAGCTCCGATGAAGATGGGGACGACAACGATGGCGGTGACGATGGCAGTGACGATGACAGTGAGGGTGACGACAAAGATCCACCCAAAGATTCACGTAAGAGGAAGGGACCAACATCCTCAAACAAGAGTCAACCGAAGCAGCCCAAGAACCAAGCAGCCAAGAAGCCAGCAGCCAAGAAGCCAGCAGCCAAGAAGCCAGCAGCCAAGAAACCAGCAGGAAAGAAGAGGTCAAAGACACTTGGAATCACATCACCACACAACGGAGGATCAATGAGCGATGTCGCGAATTTACAAGATGTCGATTACCTTTTGGACAAGGATGACCTCGCTTCAATGCAACGGGCAGGAATTTATAGAATCCTGAGAGCAATGGTCCCGTATTTGTCTCGAGCAGGTCCTAACAGCAATAAGATAATTATTTGATGCACCAGATAATACTATTATTGGTGAATCACATTCTCACTTCTGCTCTCGGACAAAGACTTGATTTTTTTCCTGGTTGTCTCACCAACCACTAACCAACCACTAACCAACCACTAACCAACCACTCCCAAAAATCTTGCTGACCAACGTGCTGAGACAACTCTCCTGGTAACTCTCTCGGACGTGCAAACAGTTCCAGCGCTAACAGATACCGAAAGTAGAATTGTAGTAGAATTACAAAAATGACCTCCTCAATTTAGAATTAATTATTTTTATTATTTCCAACTTCCAAACTCTATTTCTACTACAATTCTACATTAATGAAGCTGATACCTTTTTTCCAACGTGCTCACTGCTATGGCGGTAACAGATACTGAAAGTAGAATTGTAGTAGAATTACAAAAATAACCTCCTCAATTTAGAATTAATTATTTTTATTATTTTGAACTTCCAAACTCTATTTCTACTACAATTCTACATTGATTAGACAGATACACTTTTTCCAACGTGCTCACTGCTATGGCGGTGACAGGTACTGAAAGTAGAATTGTAGTAGAATTAGGAAAATGACCTCCTGGATTTAGGATTAATTATTTTTATTATTTTGAACTTTAAAACTCTATTTCTACTACAATTCTACATTGTTGATACAGATACCTTTTTTAATAACTTTGAAGTATATAAAACTATAAAGAGAAGAATCTTGAAGTATGAAATGAAGGAGCGCCAGCTCCGGAATGTTGCGTAGCCAGCGGCGATGAGTTATCCACACACCAATCAATGATGATACAGAAGCTTTATCTAATGAGCGCTATACTACATTCAAAATCATGACATTCTGCTTGCCTTCCAATATCAACAAATGTATCCTGCCAGACTACAAGATGAAGATCAATGAGAAGGAGCTTAAAGTCATAGTGGCCAAACTTCCATTCTCCCAGGGGGTACTTAGATTGGCATACCATGGCATTGACGAGTATGGCAAAAGAGTAGTTCTCAAACTATTAAAGAGAATGGGTTGGGAAGAGATGGGTCTCAAGAGGTATCTAGAGGCAATAGAGTGTCAGACAGTTGCTTACAAGTTTGCTCAAGAGTTTAGCATTGTTAATAACGACAACAACAAAATTATCAAATATACAGTTGCCAGAGTGGCACAAGTCAAGAATAGTGCTGGAACATTCTTTACGATCGAGTCCTACATTGATGGTGAATACGAGAAGTTCAACAACAACTCAGGTTGGAGGAATAATGATATGTCATTGGAGATCTTGAAGACTTTCTCACATTGGACTCACCATTTGTCTAAAGGTCAATGAATGGTGGTTGACCTTCAAGGCAGCAAGACTCCAATCAATGGATACCTATTGACTGATCCAGCTATTCATACAATTGACACATTAAGATATGGTCCGTGTAACTATTGACCAGTAGGAATTGATCGTTTCTTCAGGACTCATATCTGCAATGGGAATTGTCAAAGGTTGGGTCTCAAGATGCCATGATTGAGTGAGTGAGTCAGCAAGTTGTGTATTGGTTCCAGGTAATCTTCACTTTCCTAGTATTGTATACAATACTATGATGACAAGTATTCAATTTAATGTTTGTCAAAGAGACAAACAATTATTTGTTAAAGTGATATTGTGAACTTCACAATATTAATTAAATTAAATTAAAAGTTGATCATCAAAACACACAACTTTCGTGTGTGATGAGTCATTCTTTGGGTCAACTTATATACTTTACATGAACTGAACAGCCAAGTACATACATTTCTTATTTATCATCATTACAATCACAAGACAACAAATAACGACAGGAAAGGAACATCGATCAATCATCCATTCAATCAAACAATCAAAGGAACAAGAAAAGAAAGAAATGAACTTATTTAGATTGGTTGCAGATATGCTGCATGTGACAGCAATATTGTTGTTGCTGTTCAAGATCAAGGCCGATAGATCATGTGCAGGCATATCACTAAAGAGTCAGATATTGTACGCTACGGTGTTCACAACAAGATACCTCGACCTGTTCGTCACATTCTATTCACTCTACAACACTATACTCAAGGTACTCTACCTGAGCGCCTCCTACTACATCGTATATCTCATGATCGTCAAGTTCAAGTTCTCCTACGACAAGGACCACGACAACTTCAGGATCATCTTCCTGATCGCACCCTCTGCAGTCCTAGCCATTCTATTCTATGATCGATCGAATGGATTCATATTAGAGGTATGAATGAATGAATGAATGATTGAATGAGAGAGTGACACTAACAATCAATTAATCAATCAATCATCTTTAGATACTTTGGACATTCTCCATCTTTTTGGAATCAGTGGCTATATTGCCACAACTGTTCTTGTTGCAGCGCACTGGAGAGGTGGAAGCACTCACCTCAAACTACATCATTTGTTTGGGAGGATATAGAGCATTCTACTTCCTCAACTGGATTTATAGGATATTCACCGAGGACTTTACAGGCGTGTTGGTCATGTTTGCAGGTATTATCCAGACCATTCTCTACTGTGACTTCTTCTACTACTACTTCAAGAGCAAATGGTTGGGTAACAAGTTGGTGTTGCCTCAGTAGAGACCATTATTGCGATAGGTAGATTGATTGATTGATTGTAGGAATAAAGCAATCCAATAACAACAACAACTATACAGGTACGCACGCGCGATATACAGGATGATTGATTGAATGATGGTTGAGTGATATATCATGGTCCTCATCGATGGCCCATGGTTGGTGGACTCAACAGTTTATTGCTGTTGTTGCTGGTATGACCCCAGTGCTGATGGATGGTCTTTAGTTCATTCTCCAAACGATGCAATCTGTTCACGATTAGGCCGAGCACTCCGACGATTGGATCGTCGGCACTCTTGCTGCCATGATCCATCGAGAAGAACTCGTTGTCATAATGCTCCATCATGTCCAGGTGTTGCAGATCGCCAATGATCTCCTTCATCTGTTTTGCCGCAGGCACCACGTTTGCCGTGCCCAGAGACCTCTGCACCGCTGCGTCCAGTCGATGCTTGGCATCCTTTGTGAACAATTTCGACGACTTGTAGTGAGACCGACATGCCAGACCCAGCTTTGCCAGTCTGTGCCACAGTATCACCTCAAACTCTGCTCGTGCCTGATCAATGCCCTCCTGCACGACAGTCTTTACCGGCTTAACCAATGACCTGTATATCTTTGTCGTATGTTGTAGTGGTGTACCATTAACATTGTTGTTGTTGTTGCTGTTGTTGTTCGCTGTTCTAACTTCTAGGTCGTCCAAGAAACGACGCACTGTCACTAGGTTCTTCTCAATCTCTGTCATTGATGAGGGTGGCGTGTCGAGATACATGACGGGGATGACGGAGAAGTTGAAGTTGGCCTCACTGATGAGGAACTTATCGGTGCTCGATTCGATGTAGTCTAGGTACCACTCGACCAGCTTACGCTTCCTGCCTCCAGTCAAATAATACTCTTCATTGTCTATTATCTGTTGTTCAGCAGGAGTCGGTGATCTTGTACGCAATGGTTGATCAATGTATATCTGTATTGCTGTATGATGTAATTTGTTTATCTTTACAAGTGGTTGTTGTTTATGTTCTTTAGGTTGTTGTTGTTGTTGTTGTTGTAGATTGTTGACATGTACATTGTTATAGTTGTTGTTATGAGTATTGATGTTGTGATTGTGATTATGATTCCCAGTAGATACTGTAGGTGTGCTAGTTTGAATGGTAGACATTATTATTATATTGTTATTTTTAATGTCCTACATATATATATATAATTGATTGATTGATATAATATTTGGATGAATAAATGAATGAATCAAAGTAGTGAAGTTGGAGGGTTGTTGAATCTGATTTCGAACCTCCACTCTTGGTCAATATTTGTCAAACCCAAAACCCTGTTCAAGTTTAACTGTATTGAGGGAACAACAATCCCAATAATAATATTATTATTATATTATTATTATTATCAATCAATAAAATAATAGTCCAATTAAATAATTATTTAATGTCCATATACACATATCTTGGTTATGTCGTCAACCCCCGATTACTTTGATTTATGTCCATTTAAGTACAAAATACAAATATCGTCTGCGGGGGTTATATTTTGATCTAAACAAAAAAGTTCATCATCTACTTGCTCACTTCCAACAACTCTCTCTTCATATTGTTATTATTACTATTATTACTATTATTATTATTATCAACTATTATAACTTCAAAAGTATATTAAACAAATGAAGAGCTTAACAAAGTTTAAGAACAATGTATGTGTTTGACAAACATGTCAACCTTATTCAATCAATAATTCATCATCATACTTATTCAATCAATTAATCAAACAAACACAGGTACTTAGTTCATTATCAGGAGGTCCAAAGACAATTGATCAGAACTTTGAAACTGCAAGAAAGGAGTTCAACACATTGTTTGAAGGCGTAACAAACATCTACACCTCACTGCAGACTTATGACAAGCATCTAAAGAGTGAGCTAAGCGATTGTCTGAATGATTGAATGAATGTTAACATCTTACACTCAATCAATCAAACAGAGGCATTCATTCATCCATCCAGCCTCAATAAGAACATTCAAACATACTTCCCAAGCGATCACCCTTTGTCAATCTACACTGCAGACAATATAAAGCAAGTGGATCAGGCGTTCAATGATTGGGTCAACAGCCAGAAGCTCAACTATGAGTTGCTGCAACAGTACATCTCACGAATCAAGACTGTCAAGGAGACAATGTCCGACAGGGACAACATGCTGATCGAACTCGATCGCTCCGCCAGCAAGGTCAAGGAGCTCAAGGAGAAGCCGCAGAAGGACGTCAACAAGCTTCCGGCCGAGGAGACAAACTACGCCAACAAGAAGGAGGCCTATGACAACATCAACTACCGCACCCTCTCAGAGATCTCTAAGCTGTTTGATGACAAACAGACATACTTTGATCGTCCACTCCAAAACATTCAGCTCTCATTTGGCTATCTCTACTCGTCAATCACCACCGCTCATCAATCCTTCTCAAGCGTGCTCGAGCAGAACCCTCCTTATCATAACCCTGTCAAGCAGTTTGTTGGTGATGCTCCAGATAACTACACGGCGCCACCAGAGACCAGCAGCAACAACAGTGGCGGCAGCTCATTCAATCAATCACCCCCACCTCAACCATCAAGACCATCACCATCAGCTCCCCAGCAACATCAAATGCCCATGCCACCACAACAACAACAGCAGCAGCCACCTCCACTGCGACCAATCCAACCTCAGATGCCAATGCCACAACAGGCCCCTCCACCCCAGCCTTCAAGACCATCAGCACCTCAGTTCCCAATGCAACAGCCTCCTCCAGCACGTCCATCGCCAATGCAACAGCAGGCACCACCACCCCAACCATCCAGACCATCACCATCAGCACCTCAGCAACCTCAAATGCCAATGCCACCACGCAGACCAAACTCTGGACAATATCAACCACCAGCTCCAGGTCAATATCAGGCTCCTACTCCAGCGCCAGGTCAATACCAAGCACCAGGTCAATATCAAGCTCCCGGTCAATATCAAGCACCAGCACCAGCCGCACCCGGTCAATACCAAGCGCCAGGTCAATATCAAGCTCCAGGCCAATACCAAGCGCCTGCCCCAGCACCAGGTCAATATCAAGCTCCCGGCCAATACCAAGCGCCAGGTCAATACCAAGCACCTGCACCTGGACAATACCAAAATGTGGCGTAAGTATTGATCGATCGATGTCCAACCTCCGCTCACTCACTCACTCACTCCATCCAAATCAATCAATGTAGTAACTCCTATGCGACGGGTGTTGTAACCAATCCCGAGTACCAGAAGCAGGCTGGAAGTGCAGTGGCCAACAAGGCTAATGATCCAAATGTTCAGTCACAGGTCGGCTCACAAGTGGCCAACAACTCTAGTAACCCCTACGTTAAGAGTGCCGCTGGCAACTCCAATGTTCAAGCATTCGGTGGCAAAGCATTTGGAACAGCGGCCAAGAACCAACAAGTCCAAAACGCAGCAGGCAATGCCGCTGCCAACCAGATCAACAATCAACCAAAGCGATTCTAAAGAAAGAAAGGAAAGCAGTCTGAAATATATATACTTTGTACACCTACTATGATCCATTCGTCTGGCCACAATCAATCGTTCAGTGGCTAGACTGGTCATTCATTCACTCCTTATCATGTTTATGTGTTGAGTTAACGTCGTCCAGCCATTGTGTCATAGTCTTCTTGACGAATGCCTTGTTCTGATTCCACAGACTATCGCGCGCTGATGTGTCTTGGTCGGCGAGATGGGTGTACTTGGATCGACCTGCCTTGCCAAAGTTCTTGACCTGCATGATCTTGGGCAGCAGCTCGTAGTTGAACTTGTCCTCGCCAGTGGCGCCGGTGAAGTCCTTGTTCTTGATGTATTCGTCGTCCTGGAAGAAGGCGCCACGGTGGTAGTCGCGCTGCATGAACTTGAGCTTCTTCTTTGGCTCGCGTTTCAGCTTCTCGGCATCCTCCAACTCGATCTCGCGATCGGTCATCTTGCTCCTCCTCTCCTTCTCGGCCTCATCGCGCTCCAACACCAGCTTTGACCGGATGTCGTTCTTTAGACGATCAATCTCACGCGCAACCCATTCGTCGTAGCGTTGCTTCTCGTCCACCTGATCGTCGTCGTCATCATCGTCCTGCTTCTCCAAGTCCTCTGCCTGCTGCTCCTTCAAGTCGCGCTCGAGCTCATCCTTCAACTTCCTGTGGGCCTCCTGTTTCCTCTGTTCCTTCTCCAACTGTTGCTTCATCTCCCAGTCTTCTTCCTCCTTTATAAGCTGCTCCTCTGTCTTTATCGTACCTCTCTCGTCCTTCTTTACAAACACGGGCCTGAACACAGGTCTTCTGCCCCAGTCCTCCTCCTCCTCGCTGCTCTCTTCCTCACTACTTCCATCTTCATCTTCATCGTCCTCCTCATCTTCGTCATCTTGGTCCTCTTGTTTGATCACATTCTTTTCTTCCTCTTTCTGTTGTTGTTCATATCTCTCTCTTGCTCTCCTCCTTCGTTGTTCAACATCATCTTCATCACCGCCATCACCAACTTGCGATGACGAATCTTCTTTCTTCACGCTTATGACCTCAGTCCTTTGAACACGTCTTCTAACATGTTCAGTAACCTTTTCTTCACTATTCTGTTCTTGTGCTTGTGTTGTTGCCAACCTCTGTCGTCTATCATGTATCTGTGATCCCTCATTCTCTCCTCCATTTCCATTGTCTTGTCGCCTAGTTGATGTTGTTGTTGATGTTGTTGATGTAGTTGATGTAGTAGTTGAAGCCTGCCTCAGCCTATTCAATCTTGGATCAGAAGAAGATTCCTGTTCTATTATCTTTTGTAACTCTTGTTCCTTCTTCTTTATCTCATTCTCTTCAAACTCCTTCCTTGCATATGCTGGTACTTGACCTGCACGATACCTAGCTATTGTAACATCATTCATTCAATGTTAGTTAGTTCCATTCATTCACTCTTATCAACTTCATTCATTCAATACATACCAACTTTAGGTTGTTTAAGTTTATTCCTAACTGATTCAGCAACGGACATATCTATATCTCTATATCTCTATATCTCTTTTACTTTATCTCTATGTGGAAGACTCTCTCTGAGATTCAATGAATGGGAATTGGCTGGGTGGCTACAACCTTGATCAATTTTCAACAATGTATATCTTGTCAAGTTAGCAAAACAAGAGTGTTTGATGCTCAATCAATCAACATGTACTGTATCTATCTGTAGATAATTGGACTCGTAGGACTTGGACTAGATACTTCTGGATCTAAAAATATCAGATAGATCGTTTCAAGGTTATTGTGCAATGCAACACACTTTGGGACATATCGTTCAAAGCAAGCAAAGTTGCAAACAAGTTGTAGTGTTGTGTCCTGGACAGCTGTAATACAACAAACAGTTATGGACTTCTTATATCTCTCAATATATCTATCTATCTACGTAATCAATCATATAAATCATATAAATCAAAGTTAAGACAGTCAGACAGAACAAACGAACAAACAATAGAACTACTATCCTATTTAGTTAGGAGATGAGGACAAAGGTCGTACTAAGACAATGTTGGGCAAAGTTGTATGACTTCTTGTATAACTTTGTATCGACACTGGCCAACTGTTTTGGTATGCTCTGTTGTTGGTGTGATTGTTGTGCAAGACTTGGTAGAAGAGGTAGACGTTATAGTAGTCTATCACCACATTCATCAAATGGAGGTGGAGGACCAGGAGGACCAGGCGGCGAAGAATCAATGACAAGAATAAGACTGGGATTCAGAGGCAAGGACATGTGGGTGGAGACACGAGGTCTAAACTTCCATCAAACATTCGGTCGATATGCAGTGCTGATGGATAGCAAGGATAGGATCATCCCGTTTAGCAAGAATGGCGAGTTGATTGAGGAGCTCGACCCAGACATGACATACAAGATCGTAGCCAATAGATATGGCGAGGCGGGCGAGGACAGGTGGAAGAAGCATAAAGAGAACGAGAAGGTCAAGGCCAAGAAACAGAAGCAACAACTCAAAGTGACCAAGCCTCCTTCATCATTGTTATTGGATGGTAATCTACATGGGAACATCGTACAAGAACAGCCACTCATTCAAATAGTCGATGAACATCATCAAGTGGAAGTGGATCTGGTCGATGAAGATGGTGAAGGACTACTGGACACATCAACGCTGGATCATTTTACAATCGATATACCAAACAACAACAACAATGAACACAAAGATGACCACGAAGATAGCTACCAGGCCTCGTCAACAATCAATCACACAAACACCTAACTGGGTGTTTTGAAATGGCACGCAAACATTGTCTATTATTCATTCAATCAATCAATAATTCACATAAGTCCATTCACCAACATGGACAGAAGTATACATCAGCAGACAATCAGTGCTTACAGTCATTCAATCTCGAGATTGATGGCAACTGTTGAGATGGACTTTCACACAACACACCAGCCTTGCTTGTGTTTGAAGAAGGGCCACAAAAATGGTCCAAAACCAATAAATATCTATCTTTGGGTCCCTTTGTGATGGAAGGACCCACAAGTTGTAAACCTGTCCGACGAACCAATCAAACATACATTCATTCATACTACACAATATTTATTAGATACAGATATATATCATTAATATATCTATATATATTACATTGCATTTATATAAAGGAAGTCATGGGACAGTTGGACATTGATCAGTTCATCAGTCAACCCCCTTTGTTAAAGGGTAAGGTCAAACTAAGGATATTAGTTGAGGCCAATGGTGTAACATATGAGAAGTCATTGGAAGCAACTCATGAGTTACTCAAACCATTCATAAATAAACTAAATGTATGTTACTGTCTTCGTCAGGTCCACTCACTCAATCACAAACTTATACTCACTCAATCACTCATTCAATCAATCAATCAATCAATCAATCAATCAATCAATCAATCAAATTTAGACAAAAGCAAAGAAGGAAGAAGAGAATATAAAGAGAGGATTGGCATTGTCTACAGCAACTTCATCGTCAACATCATTGAAGAGTTTGTCATCGATTGGTTTTGGTCTGCGTGGATTGCATGCCAACAGAGATGGATCACCTGTCATTGTGGACACTAAACTCTTTGGCCTACCCCTAGACACGTTGATGGATCGACAAAAAGGTGATCCTTCCAAAGTGCCCATATTTATAAAGAGTGCTCTAAAGGTATGTTTGATCGATTAAGCCTCATCCAGTACCAGGAATAGTCCCATGTATCTAACTCCCCCTCCGGACTGATCAGCACCTATTTGTACATGCATTGGATGTTGAGGGATTGTTCCGTATATCTGGATCACAGGCAGACTTGTTGGCGAGGAAGGCATTGTTTGACAAGGGTGATGTACAGTTGTCAAAGGATGATAGTCCACATATGATCACTGGTTTGGTCAAGATATTCTTGAGAGAGCTACAAGAACCTTTGTGCACCGCTGCGTTGTATGACACGTTCTTGGCGTCGGCCGGCTCACTGGACAGCATAAAGCGATCGATTGGACAACTGCCAGTACACAACAGAAACTTGTTGCAACACCTGATACACTTCCTCACGTTTGTCTCCAACAACTCGCATGTCAACCTGATGAATCACTCGAACCTTGGTCGAATCTTTGGTCCAAACCTCTTTTGGAAGCGACAGGAGGAGGGCGCACCCAAGATGGACATGAACCAGCTGCAGGCGACAAGTGAGCGAACAAATACAATCACAGAGAAGTTGATCGTCAACTATGATGAGATGTTTGATGAGCCCCTGGCATCAGCCACAAGCGGACGTCTTACATTGCAAGCCAAGATGCTTGGTCACAAGAAGTCAGTCCAGTGGCTGGCACTGGCCGACCAGGATCGCAAGGTCTGCTCGCTCGACACATTGGGCCTGCTCAAGATATGGGACTCACAGACTCACAAGCTCATCACCGAGTTCTCAGTGTGTGAGCAAGGCGCGCTCATCTACTCAATGATCACAACATCGACAGACACAATCTGGACTGCCACATCACAGTCAGTCTGCATCTGGCAACTCAATGGCAAACTGATTGGCGAGGCACCTGGCGAGGCATACTCACTGTGCGAGTCACCTTGTGGCGATGTCTGGGTTGGTGGCGCTCAGGTCATGTCGATATACTCGCTGCGAGACATCCCCAAACAAGCAGGTACATCACCCATCAAACCGATTGGTACCGACCTGTTCAATCAGAACATGTTTGTGTTGGCACTGGTAGCGGTTGGCAAGAATAGAGTGTGGGGATGTTCATCCAACAAATCACTCTATGTCTGGGATGCCAAGACCAAAGAGATGCTCAAGACCATCGAAATTCCAGAGAAGCGACCCAAACGAATCACATACGTAGAGACCGAAGATAGCGAGACTGTCTGGGTTGGTGGAGATGAAGGTGTTATACAGATTATCAACGCCAAGGTAAGACTTGGTGCATGCGGATGATGAAGCGGAGGATGCGGAAGTGACTTTGGACTAACATATACCTTTAATATAGACCTACGAAGTAATGAACAAGATAGATAATGGAGGATGGGACAAGATATTCGTGTTGACTACTATTGGCTCAAGAGAGGTATGGTCAGCAACATGGGATATTGTTGTAAGAGTATGGGATCCAAAGACAAGAGAGTTGACAGCAGAGATTAAGGGATATCATGCCGATGCTATATCGGCTATATTAGAGGTTCCTAATCTCAAGGGTGGCGCAGAGTGTTCAAACATCTGGTTTGGATCGTATGACAAGTCTATCTCGACCTATCAGCTGAGATCAAAAGATGGCAGTGGCGAGAGCAGCAAATGGTCCAACGCCAATGCCAAGAGGAGCAATGTCAAGCCCATTCGAATTGGATTCACCTCAAGAGGATAAGTGAGGAAGGCTGTCTGTCGACTGGACCACTGTCACACCGCCCATGTTGCTGTTGTTTCCTCCTTCAGCGACAATGTTGTACAATAACTCCTGGTGTAGCTATGGCCTGATCAATAATAAATAAAGATGTGGATTATTAATCCATGTTTCTTATGTGCACATAATAACAATCAAACTCACACTCATCACTCACACTCAATCCAATGATTACAAATGAGTATGTGTGTTTGTGTATGTATCTGATCAGGACAATGCATTTAGTGTGGTTGTAGATGTACAAGTGTGGGTGATCATATCTTAATTTGATCACTTCCAAAGATGTCTTATTCTCAGTGAGTGATTGAATGAATGATAAACGTCGGACATATTAAGGTATTGATCAATTATTATTATACAATCGAGTGTCGACACTCAAAATAAAAATATAAATATAAAACTATATTATAACTTCAAGAATGATTAATATTATTAATTTATCCATTATCATATTGATATTAAGTAAGTATACAAACTATTGAATATTTATTATTGATAATTAATCAAAGTATTTTAGATAATATATTATTTGTGGATGGTAATGTTCGTGCAAATGGACATCCATTCATTGATGGTACACCAACAATTGCTAAACAGGTTGTAGTTTATAATATGGAACAATTGGTTACAATCACTGGTACAAACTTTGGTACAAATAATAATATTACAGTATTATTAGGTACTCAATATACAAGATGTAGTGGACATGATGGAACATTAGATATAGTTATACCAGATGAGATGATTGTGTGTCATAACTTCACCTGGGATTTTGATTACAAAGAGAATCGTCTCGATTATTCCCTTGACCTTGGTTTGATCATGCCAAACAGTACCGAAACATTGGTTTATGACAAGATGTTCATCTTTAGTAATTTCTACTATGGTTGCTCTAACGGTCCATTTGCCAACTTTTGTAAACCAATACATACATGTACCCTTGGCATATGTCAATGTCAAGACAGTTCACGATCAGGTCCATTCTGCAGATATCGTAAGTGCACTACGATATGTTTCATGATCAAAATATTAATCACAATATTACAGATCACCAACCATTTGCAGCAGACCTGAAGAGAAATGAGACTTACCCAAGTTTGTATTATTATAGAGCTGATGGTATGGACTATGGCATCGGTTGGATAATCAAGTTTGATAACTTGTACAAATGGAATCCGGTATCAAGCACTTTTGAAGTGATGGTCGACTTTACAAATGTGACTTGGGTAGTATCCTACTTTGCGGACAATGACACTTATATATACCGGTTCAACAAGACTGGTATAGCAAGCATGGAGATTGAAATGGCATTCAGTCGGAGGCAGTTCGAGTACACCTATGTAGACTACAACACGACCATTCTACCTTATACTGTACAGTTCTGGATACGGCTTGCTGATACGCACAAGTATACAGACTACGAGGTTGGGTACCAGATCAAGACTATCTACAAATCCGACAGCGAGTGTAGCGACCCCGTTACCCACTTCCACTATGAGATCTATGCTCAAAGACGTTTCGATATGCGGTGGTTCACGTTTATGAAAGCAGACACTGCATTGTATGCTCGGCACTCATCTCGCTGTCTTGATGGTGCCGCTGGTGTGCAGTCATGTCCACTGGATATCCTGGAGAGTCCACTGTCCGAGTCCAAAGGAGAGGGATACTTCCTTGTTCGTATACCCGCAGTGAATCGAGCGGTTCGAACCTACTTTGACATGCTTATCATCAGTACCAATGATTCATTCTTGAACTACACGAAGTCGAGTTGCTTCTCTTTATTGCGTGGCGAACCCTTGCTCACTGGCTGGCTACTACCATCAATGGTGCCACTGATCGTGGTGTGTCTTGGTAGCTTTGCGGTTGTGATCGTCTTCATACTGATCATGAATCGCAAGGCACTCACATTTGGAATAATGCAAGATGCAGATGACAGTCAGTCATCAGACCTTTCGGACACAGAAGAGACCATCAAGGAGACCTTTGACATTGATCAACTTTGTACAGAATTGATCAATGGCGGCGATCATCATCATCATCATCACAAAGAACACTTGAATTAATGAAATAACTAATAAACAATTGTTATTACTTTATTATTGCTCAATGTATTTAGTATACTCATGGCTGAATGATTGTCGAGGCGTCGAAGTTGGCATGTTGTATGATCTGAATGTGTCGTGGGGCCATTGATCACAACTTGGATTGATGGGATGTTGGGGAATGATACCAATACCTTTTTGAAGTACTGGATGATTCTATGAGTCAACAATGTTGGTTGGTTGCCAAGGACAACAAAGGGTGCAAAGCTGAATGATACACAACGTACTTTGGCATGGCTTGCCATTTGATTGTTGTCATAGTAGTCTATGTTGACTGGATTGATGACTTTGACATGATCAGGGTATGCCATGCTACCAGACAGATAGTCGATTTGATTGAATGTTGGGACAGCCAAACTTTTTAGCATCCCAGGTATGTGGACATTCGCCTTTCCTTGGCAATAATCTCTACCGAATGTCAATGATGTTAGTGCCTCGGGAAGTGTCCCCTTGGGCAATGGACAGTTGAACTTTTCTCCAAACTCCAAAAATGTAAGCGACGATGGTAGTTGACAGAACCCAATCACTTGATTATATTTGCTGCCAAATGATAGTGAAGTGAGTGTAGATGGTAGGTCGAATCCCTTAGCTAATGAACTTGATTTCGACTTGATCGGCCATGTGAACGAGTCTCCAAGCTTCAGGTCTTGAAGAGAGTTGTGGGCACTCAGCTCCAATGGCTCATTGTATGGCTCACCTATAGATAGGCGAGTCAATGATGGTGACAAGATGCCAACTTCTATCAATTGTACCCTAATTTTGTATATGTGAAATCTGTTAGTGTACTCCAATGACGTGAGCGTAAGTGGAAGGGAGCCCGGCATTATTATCCCTCCTGGATATAATATCAATGATTCAAGTGAGCTTGGTAACGACCCAGGGATGATGAAAACACTCTTTGTTTGCCCAATGTCCAAGAACTTAAGTATCTTAGGCAAAACATGCAACTCTGGACAGTAGTTGTACCCAGCGACCAAGTGTGTTAGGCTAGATGGGAGGTGCTCCATCGAGAATTGATATTCATTTCCAAAGACTAATGTTCGCAATGACTCAGGCCATACATCTGAAGTGATCTGATGATTGAAGCCATGGCTTAGAGAGAGGCCGGTGAGTGAGGGAGGCAGCGAGCCCTCCTCCAAAGGGTGATTGAACATTCCCCTGCCTGGATGGTGGGGATCAAACGACAGGCTCAAGAGAGAGTCAGGCAGTGATCCTGGAGTGATCGGCTGTTGAAAGTTGTAGCCAAGTGATAGATGGAGGAGTGATGATGGTAGGGTACCTTTTGTAATCGGACTGTTGAATGCTAAGTTAAGTGTAATTCTAGTGAGTGTGTTGGGTAGAGATGTTGGTTTGATCGGTCCCATGTCATATGTGTTCCAATTGAGTAGTTCAAGTACTTCAACTGGCATGTTGTTCGAGGACCCTCCTAACAACAAGTCACAGAGCAATGTTCGAAAGGATTTACATGTGAGCGATAGACACATGCTATCCAATGTATTAATATATGAACCATCCTTATTATTGGTATTTATCAATAGTCTAAATATTGACCTTATGATAGTATGAGGGAGCAATTCCATGTTATGTATCTCATTCTGTCTTTCTGTCTTTTTGATCAACAAGTGAAATGAGATTATTGATGATCGTGATCAAATATTTAGATTAGACCCTTGCTCCAAATTTTAATATAATATTATATTAGCTTTGATAGACGAACTTTATGTCATCAAAGAAGATGGGTCCTTTGATGATGGCGTTGTTGTCTGAGCTGGAAAGTTGAATACCCGTGAAGAATATGTTGTCCTTGTCAGTGATCTTACCAGAAACTAATGTTTCCATTTCAATTCTCATCAGATTCCAATAGTTTGGTATGATGTCTCGTGAGGTGATTGTCATTGGCGGTAGGATGCTTGGTTTGCCAGGCGAGATCAAACTGATGTTGAAACTCTGTCCAAGTGAACTGCCTCGAACCCACAGTTCAAAATACTTGATTGATGGCGCCACAATACATGACTTGTTTCGACAGAGTATCCTGATGAACTTGCCTGGCGATGGTTGGAACGAAATGAACTTCTTTCCATTGAGCGCCATCGATTGATTGTTGACTATCTTTGCGCCGTCAGTACTGTTTCCAATGAACATCGGATTGATGGCCTCGTCAAACAGTGTCAATGATTGGCCATATAGTGCAGTGCGACAATCACAATTGTGTAGATTGCTCCTGTCCTGGACCAAGGTGATTCTGAGCTGTTCACATCCTTTGAGTGGACAGTAATAGTAGCCAGGTCTCTCAGAGTCAAGTGTCAACTGAGTGTACAGCATTCCGGTGGGGCGATTGTAGAAATAGTGAAAGGCGTCCACATCTTGCAATGAGTGGACGGGCTGCAGATCATGAACGAGCGTCTGGCCAATGACCTTCTCGACCGTGATGTTGATGATCGAGTTGAGACCAACACATGATCCGAATGTCATATTGTCGCCCTTGTCCCAGTTGACTGCCTGGATGTACACTTGGGGTGGATGTGGATGTGCTTCAAAGTGCAGGGTATATCTGTAGCCCTTGAATCCAAGACCAAGGAAGTGATTCCTTGGATTGTGATTGGGTATACCAAGCAAGTTGATACTATTGTCAAAGTAATCATCTCGTACAAATGTAAGAGATGTCTCCCTTCCATTATAAACAGTATTCTCTGTCGATGGATTAAACAAATAGAACTGTGTTGCATTCTCTTGGCATAACAATGCATTCCAATTCTCCATCATCAAACAGTTTGATGTCTGGTAGTATGAATATGGACGAGTCTAATCGATTGATTGGGGATGATGTTAGTTCAATGATTGAGTAATGGAGTGATTGATGGAGTGACGGGAACGGGATAGTTCCAGTGAACGAACAAACATACCAATACAGCACCTGCTATGCCAGTTGATGATCCATCCAGGTCTTTGATTGTTTGTATTTTGTCACCATCAACAAGGGAACTCTCGAGATGGAATCGAAGAGTGACATCTTCAAAGGTGATACCCTTGAGATATGATTTAACTGATGTCTGCCAATCATTGAATCTAAACCATCCGATTGCACTTATATTCCTCGGTGTGCTATCTTTCATGAATGACCTGAATGTAACATTCACTAGCATGTTTGTGCCATCATACGCTTCGAAACCTCTGATCGGCATGTTACCATCCTCACCAAAAGGGTTGGATCGACCACGTCTTGCCGGTATCCATGATGACGCCTGTCCAATGTTGTCTGACTCGCCGACAAACACTGAGTTCTCGATGATCTGTGTCTGTCCTGGGTCCTCGGGGAAGTTGCCCTCGCTGGCCAGTGTGAATCCAATGGCGTTGTCTGCGAATGCACAGTGGGAGAAGACAAGACTGCCACCCCGCGCCCATCCCCCTCTCCACCTGTTCTTGTACGTGGTGAGACCCTTGAACACGGATGTTGCAGCGGGTGAGTCAAAGTCGGTCGAGTCCTCCCTTGGCTTATATCGATTATTGTTCATTGAGATATACTGTTGAGGCTGATCAGCTGATGGCACGGTCAACTTGAGTCCTTGATCAATGATGATTCCATCCTGATTGGAGTGACAGGTGTTGTTCTCAAACTGGGCCACAACAGTGAACACTGGTCTGATGTGCTGGAGCACACCCTCCACGGCAGACTCACCCGAGGGGAAGTCAGGAAAGAGGTACCAGAAGCCAGTGATAGCCGAGCCTCCCGCGGCATTGTTGGTCACAGTGTTGTTGGGATTGGAGATCCAGAATGTGGATACTGCATTGCACTCGGTACAACTTGTGGCGTAGCCATTGAAGTCGAATGGGGCGACTCGGGTACACATGTCACAGTTGCGATCGGGTGGTGTGAGCAGGCCATGTCTGGTCAGCAGTCCCAAGTTATTGTCCAGCACATTGTTGGTCTCGATGGCATCGCACAACATGAAGCAATGTCCAATATGATCGTAGGCCACATTGTTCTTGACTAGCAATCCGTGCACCGCGTGAAGTACGATGCATCGACTGTATGATTGGTGGATCCCACAGTCCTGAATGTAGGCGGGCCGGTCGTATCCGCCGAGTTTATCGACTCGGCCGACCATGTGAAAGTGGATAGGGTATCGCGATATCTCGTGTGGCTGGCCCACATTGAACAGCTCAACGCCATGAAAGTGTGCGTTTGTGAAGCCACCCGTGATCATGATGTGGCCGCCAAAGGAATAGTTGGGAAAGAAGTGACAGACCATCTCGGTTGACACGCACTTTGTGTCCTCCATGCTGCCCTGTACTAAGATGTTTCGCGTGAGCAGGCCGACTTCAGCTCGCTGGTCCACTCCCTTGGTGATTGTGCCCCAGTGCATGTAGACTAGCGGGTTGCGCAGACGAACTTGATTTGCCGCGCACTGAGTACAAGGCAACAGCTCATTCTGTTCTGTTTGGAACTGATCATAGTCCGTTGATGAGATTACAATCTTGTCCCCAGGTTGCCATGTCACATTCGTTGCCAGTGTGATTATGGGTCCGAGAATGTCAGATGGGTTGCTGGCCTGTGCCGTCACATTCAGACGTGTCCAAGACGGATATCGCACCTCTCCATGCATCTCGATCGTCCCACCCTTAGCCACGGCAATGACCTTCTGACCATAGTTCTTTCCAAACAAGTTGATGCGTGGCTCTTTGTCCTGTGAGTAGCCTGTAAGTGTGATGGTCGTGCGGTACTTGAACCTGCACTCCTCGCTGCCAATGATGATTCCGCCACCGTTAAACACAGAGATTGAGCCAACCTTGAGTTCAATACCTGGTGCATGCTTCCATATCAGCATACCTTTACCTGACAATGTTATAGATCCCAATGGTGGAGGTGAGGTATCCAACAACACCGGGAGAGCAATATTTATACTGCCACCTGCCGCTGGCAATGTGTTATTCCACCATATTCTTGCATCGGACCATCTAAGTAATGTAGGGTCATCATAAGGACAACCTGTGAATGTTGTTGTGTTTGTTGTTTGTGTCGGTGTTGTTGTTGGTGTTGGTGTTGCTGTAAAGTCTTCATTAAGTTTGAAACTTGTTGCATTTGCCCACCCAACACTTCCAATACAGAAAATGACCAAGATTGTTAATATTGGTGATGAGTGATTATACATGTAATAGTATTAATAATAATAAATAATAGTAGTACAATTGTAATTAGGATTACATCAGGTATCGCAACTTAAGGAAGTTGCTCGCTGATTGTCGTACGACTCCATTCAAGATGTATGATCATTGTCGCAAACCACCAACTCATATACTTAAATGTGATAACATTGATCGTTGGTATATCATCATCCGCTGCCACCACCACAATCAGTTATTATTACTTCCAAACAAACAAGTAGTAGTGGTTGTGTGTGACGAGTGTAAGTAATGACAAGGGTGAGATCAATGGACCGAGCACTGTGCAACATCCTTAAGAGTGATCAGAACACTGTGTGATTTACAACAACGTGAGCCAGTCCACTCAATCACTTTGTTTTTTCAAGGAACAAGGCCATGAATTGTCCTGCCTCTGGATTGTTAGGATAGGGCTTGACCTGGAACTTTATCATACTTTAATCATGGAATAATGAGCCTCCAATATATATTTGAATATCCCAAATTGGATATGATTTAAAAGTTGTTAATATTAATTCTCATTCAATTGAAGGGATGAACAACTATAAAAGTAATAACATGTTGTTAGTATTCAGAATTTAAACCAATATAATATAATAATAACTAATCAAATCTAATCAAATATGTACAAGTCCATCGCTCTTATTGCTGTGATCATGATCGTTTCGATCAGTATGGTCCGTGCCGTCGACCCAGTCTACATCCAGGCCAACTGTGATGCCAACAAGGTCACTATCCCATCATGCGCCTCCACTCCATCAGGTGCCAAGTCTAGAGTTAATGTCACCGTTCTCCCAGACATCTGTGTTGTCAACTCTGACTGGTGCAATGACGCCCCAATCCCAGACGGAGGCTCCTACAAGCTGATCTCCAACAATGGATCATACGCCTCTTTCAACATCTACAACAATCAAGCTGATTGCGCTGCTGGCACCAACTTGGTCAAGGTCTTTGACAACCTCTGCAACTCTTGTGATCCAAAGTCCGGCCAGACCATCAAGTGCTCCCTCAAGAACTCTGCTTCCGCCCTTGCTTCCTTCGGAATGGTCACCGTTGTTGGAGTTGTTGCCACTCTCATGTTCCTTTAAGACATCTCAATAAACCCAGAATGAGTTATCAATTCAAAAGAATTGATTGTATCAACCGAGACAGAGTGGATTGTTTGTTACATACGGTATATATATATATATACATGTATATCCAGAGGCTAGTCGTAATCCAATTGGAGATCTACATTGGTAAATGGGAGAGAATTAGTGGCGGCGCCAAAAGATATGATTTGGTCTGGAACTTTGGTACTGACCAACTACCGACCATAGGAGTCTTAAGACAATGTATTTGTTATCTCTTTAGAGAGACAAGTAAGAATATGAAATATGACCTGACATGTGAGGTTGAACTATCTTAAGTATTTCTTTGTTCTTGGAAACACAATGCTATCATCCTTCTTTGGACATGATCTAGACATGCCCATATTTGAAACATTCACAAACTATCAAAGATAGAGATAGAGAATAAACAAGAAATGGAGGAGAAGTATAGACAAGATACAAGAGATTTGTTGAATAGATGGGTGGATGCATTCAACAGGAAGGATTATAATGCAATGGCAGAGTTGTATGATGTGGACGCAATCAATCATCAGGTTGTAAGAGAGCCAGTAGTTGGCAAAGAGGCAATTAGACAGATGTTCAAACAAGAGCTTGATAATCCTGATGTCACAATGGTGTGCATCATAGAGAACATCTACGTAGACACTATACAACATTGTGCTATGCTCGAATGGCGTGATCCCCTTGGTCTACGCGGATGTGGATTCTTCACCATCGACAACAACTCCCTCCTTATCAAATATCAACGTGGCTACTTTGACCAACTATCATTCCTTAGACAACAGCATATACCACTTCCAACATCCTAATTAATTACATTAATAACAACAACTAATATACTTTATACAATGTCATTACTACTACTACTACAACTGCTACTTCCATTACTATAGTCCTCTGGAAGATAGCGATAGAGATAGTGTGTTTGGAGTCGACTTGATGTGATGGAGCTGATGTGATTGTAACGGATGTTGGTGAGCATGTTAAAGTCGAGTAGACTGAGTGATGGCGAGACAATCTTGAGATGTCGAATGGTTGTGTTGAGGGAGACCCCTCGCAGCAAGTCTTTGACAATCTTCAGATCGCTGACAACTCCAAAGTCAACCTGGCGCAATGTTGTGTTGGCAGATATCGCGTCTCTAACAGTTGGATTGCTTATTACAGTCGAGCCCAGGACGGTTGGATGTAAAAGGGTGACCCGGTCCACGTATAGGCGCTGAAGACACTTGGTGTTGAGGAGGAATGATGAGACTGCTGTGTCCAGGCTGAGACTTGGTAGCGACACACTCTTTAGCGTGTCCAAGTTGCTGTTGAATAACTCGTCCAAGCGAGCTGCGGCGATTGTATGATTCTTGGGTATGACGAGCGAGGTGACATGAGGCAGTGCCACCGCGGCCGTGACATCCGAAGCAAGATCATCGACGCCAATCTCAAAGATACGTGGCTTGGATGCCACGATTCGTAGGAATGGGAGGATGGAGGCAACCCCCAGGCAATGTACTCTTGTCAATGAGTTGTTTTCGACCAAGAACTGGAGGAACTGATCATATACGGGCTTGGACCGATTGGTATGTATGATCAGTGATGATAGACGAGTCCCCAACCTGCCAGGTCCAAATACATTATCTGCTCCATTGTCTGTGATCTTCAAAGTGAGTGCCTGTAGCCTTGGGAATGAGTGACTGGGCAACTTGAACGCACTATTGTCAATGTGCATCTCTGATATGTATTGCGCCAGGTTGATGTTGCCAGGTAGTGACCTGAGCCATGAGTCAGAGTCCTTATTATTGACTCCATCGGCACTCTTCAGATGATCAATCACTTGATCAACTTGTGATGACGTTGTTGACGTCGATGGTATATCGATTGAGATTGCTGTGGAAAGATGATCCTTTGCCATGGATATTCGCGATAGACTTGATGAACACTGACTCAACAATGAGTGCAGGATTGATGTATCAACGATCACTGGTAGAACAAGATGTATTGACTCGAGTGATTCGAGTATGGGTTGAAGGTCACCTTTGTAATCCTGTAGCATTCCCAGTCTGATTCGCAGGGATCTGAGTGATAGTGGACATAATGGATTGTCAACAAGATGTTCAAAGACTGTGCGCAAGGGTGTAACTGGCTGTGATCCGTAGGGTATGGTGGCGGACAGGTCCAGTGTGCCAAACATACGACGCACATGATGTAGCCATTGTTTGGACACACGATCTAAGCTGAGTCGCCATGGGAATGGCAGAGTCTGATCATTCCACAACAATGACACCAAGTCAAAATGCAAGTAACTTGGCAAAGTAGGCAAGTTATCCTGGAATCGTACCGAGTCCACAGGTACACTGACTATATTAATAAAGTTTGACTCTGATGAGAACAACTGATTAGTGTCCTGTTCATGGTGTTCGAAGCGATCCATCATTATCCTGGACATCCTGAAATGTGGGTGTTATATGTTGGTATTATTGATTGATTAGGTGATTGAGTGATTGAGTGAGTAATGAGTGAGTGGAGGCAAGGACAAATGCTAAGATGGTATTGTGTGAGACCAAAAGAAGAAGGAATTGATCATTTGGTTTGATTGATTGATTGATTCAATGTTGATAATTGATGGAAGACAATTGTCTTCTATTTATAGGAAAGAATGTTCTATCATGTGCTCGATGGATTCATCATCCTACCAGAAAAAACAAAGCGTGTGCCACCCATTAGTGATGATAAAGGGCTGAATGATTCGACTGCCCTGGTATGTCGGTGTGGGGTGATCACCAAACGCACCCCCACAAATGGTGCGATTTTGATCTGATCTTTCATTGATTCCCTGGTTGGGATGATCAGCTGACCTAACATCCGAATATAACCAATTTTACAAATAAATAAAGTTAAATGATGATCCAATGATGATGTAAATGTGGACTACATCATTTATAAATACAGATTGATTGAATGATCCATCATGTTGATTGAAGAATGTTTCAACACTAAGCTACAGGTCCAGTAACTTCAGCCTCCACGACAGTCCACGACTGCGACAACTGGAATCAATCCAACATCAACGACGACTGTCCGCCACTACGGCATCGATAGCTGGTGCTGGATCAACGATGACACTGACAACATCGATGTAACCACGACGACGTTCACTACTACGGCCACCTCCACCAGTCCAATGACTGCTGTTGACAACCACAACTGGCCAGCGAGTCAATCCACACAGTTCCAACTGTGGTCGACCAGCACACAACAGTGTCATCATCCCATAGGTCCTGTCACGTCCTCGACCAGAGCCACCGCGGCCCCACCTTTAACCTGACCTGCTCGTTCGCAAAAGGTTTGACCTGGCACTGACCTGATGTGTTTATATGCGCTTGTCAAAGTATACTGGGGTTGGCTTCTGCTTGATCGAGATATTCGACTACTACATAGATAATTATTTGTTTGTGACAATATCTGCTGCTGCTGCTGTTGTATCAAGTTGAAACAAATTGAAACACAAATGAATCGGAAGAGACCTTTGATCGACAATTCTTTGACAACTTGAACTGAAACAACAATACATGATCGATCAATGAATGCAACAACAATAGTGCAACAGATAGTCAGATGTCTGTACCCACGTCCTCGCTACTGCGATCGCGAAGAATATGGCAGGTGGTTACAGTTGGCATTGGTGTCAAGATCATTCCATCAACATGTGCGACAATGCAACACGTATCTAAGGTGTGATGATCTATCAATCATAGAGTACATCGAGTCGCATTGGAGTGACAATGCACTGGCAACAATGTCCCCATCACTGTACTCACTTAGTTACCTCGCTTTCGAAGAAGTCGACACAGACCACAACGACAACAAGTTGAAACTAGCTAAATGTCTCGAATCGTTATCATACCTTGAGACGAATGTGATGGCAATGGCACATCTTGTTCAGCTCAATGTGGGCACTCTCCAAAGGATATATCTCATGTACGGGTGTGATAATGAGCAGCCGGCTGACGACTCACTGAAGACAGCCCTAGGGCGACTTCATTTCAGCAAACACACAATTGGAGCAGATGGAGCTCGAACTTGGAGAATACGACGACACAGACTACTTCTTCGTTCCAACGAATCATCCAGGCATCTCCAAGTTGACCTTTATTGGCGATCGTCTTCGGATATTCTACCAGTGTCACCAGCAGCCTCAAGAGCTGTTCAAGAAGCTTAAGACACTGCCGTCACTCCAATCGCTCCACTTCCACTTTGATGAATCATGGGATGGCGAGAATGACGACCGCACATTCTTCTACGATGGTCTCATCGAGCTGCTTGAGCAGCAGCGTGCGGCAGGGTCACCCATCACTCAGCTGGGTCTGCGCTATCGCAGTCCCGACAAACGACAAGAGATTAGATTCTTCAAGTATCTCTTCCAGACGCAACCACTGGTCGATCACGTCGACTACTCTTTGTCTGGAATAAGAGGACTCCCATTCGAATTCGTTCCCGTGATCACATGCAAAGTCAACAAACTGGAACTGAATGGATGTATCATGGATGATATGTTTAATCGATATCGTGAATACTACGATGACGATGATGATGATGAACAAGACATGGTACCAAGGTTCCAATCATTTAACAATGTTGACAAGATCACAGTGCTTTGTCACCAGTCCTACGACTTTATATCGGGACTGCTCAGATACAACACGCAGTCATTGTCAATCGTTATCAAACACCTTCGTCCCGTGCCCGTGACCAACGGCGACGTTGATGGACTTCAGATGGTCATCGATGCCATTCAAGACAATCCACTGCTGCACAATGTTCAAATTGGCTTGAGCAGACACCACGACTACACCAGTCTTCTGGCTGCTCTCCAGCAACATCCAAACCACGCTACACTGTTAACAGTGAACACTTAAAGCCCTTAACTAAATATGGAATGGATATTGATTTATTTAGTTCATTGTATCATACTTGGCAATGCTGGTACTCCAGACGATGACATTGTTCCTGATGGCCAAAAACTCTGGCACTCATGGGACCGACTCGATGAAATCCACGAGCTTGGATGTGACTTGAACGTAGACGACGTAGTGGGAGCAGGAGTTTTGGGATGCACCGGCGCAGTACTCGAGGGAAAAGTCATTGTTGCCTCGAATAGCAAATGGAGGAGAGTTGGGTGTGATGAACACTCCCTTGGTGTGCTTGTTCCTGTGGCCCACAGCGCGGTTCTCGACTGGCCCCATGGCGACCGATATGACACCGAAAGGATTCCGCCTCCATAGTTTGCCATTATATAGGAATTTCCCATTTGACCAGGGACCAGTTTAACAAATAAATAAAGTTAAATGATGTAAATGTGGACTACATCATTTAAAAATACAACAACTGATCAGTTGATTGAATGAATGAGTATGTTTACAATTTTGGAAGTCTAAGAGCACCATCTAGTCTGATGACCTCACCATTGAGGTACTGATTCTCGATGATGTGAGCGACCAAGTTGGCAAACTCATTGACGTGACCAAGTCTGTTTGGATATGGTACAGTGGCCACAATCTTCTTGACAGCAGGCTCTGGAAGCATGGCAAACATTGGTGTGTCTGATTGATATGGATGGTTGATATTAGTTCATAGTGAATGATTGATTGATTGATTGATTGATTGAATGAATGATCAAACATACCGAATACTCCTGGTGCGACAGCCATTATACGAATGCCAAGTTGTGCGAATTCTCTGGCGAGTGGGAGGGTCATACCAGCAACACCGGCCTTGGATGCACTGTATGCTGCTTGTCCTTGTTGACCATCGTATGCGGCCACGGAGGAGACGTTCACAAAGACACCCTTCTCCTCACCCTCTACCTTGTCCTGTTTGTTGATTACATTTGCGCAGAGACGCATAACATTGAATGTACCAGACAGGTTTACATGCAACACTTTGTTAAATACATCAAGTGGATGAACACCCTGACTGCTAACAGTCTTTACACTAAGTGCAATACCAGCACAGTTGATTGCACCATGTATCTTGTTGAACTTGTTCAATGCCAGTTTAATAGCATTGTTAACAGACTCTGGTTTGATTGATTGATTGAGTATGATTGAGTGAGTATGTGAGAGAAAGAGAGAGAGAGAGTAGACATACCCTCAGATGATACATCAGCGTTGGCATAGATTGTCTTGTCTGAACCGAGTTGTTTGACAAGGGCATCACCCAACTCTTGGTTCATGTCTAGGATAACAACGTTTGCCTTCCTTCTAACAAGCTCGCGAACAGTTGCTTCACCCAATCCACTTGCACCACCAGTAACCAAGAATGTCTTTCCTTCAATCTTCATAGTGTACTTGAGTATATATATGTACTTATCTAAATATGTATATGTATGTTTAATGAATGATTGAATGAATGTTGTTGGTTCAACAACTCAAGATCAAATGAAAAGTTGGTTGATTGATCAGAGGTCTCCCCCCCTTTCATTTCTAGTTCAACATTCATTCGCTCACTCACTCTATCACTCAATCTTATACCAACATACATGTAATCGTATTAATACTAATAATAATATAATAAAGAGAGATTAAACATATATATATAGTTCTATACAGATAAACAAACACATTCATAATAGAGATAGATAGATTGAATATTGGATAGGATTTAGATGACACCTTATCTCAAGCTTATCAATGCCACTAGACATGGATGGTCGGCTTTGATTTACTTTATATACTTTATGATGCGCTATGCAGTACAGATCATACTGAATCTGCCACTGTCACATCGTCTTCTCTTGTTCACATTGTATAGTTTAGTAGTGTTCACTTTTATCATTCGTATGATATATGGTCGTCCTGTTAAATACTTTCAAGAATACTTTGGTAAGTAGTAGTCCATTGATTCATTGATTGAATGAATTAATGAATGACAGGTGAAGATGTGTAGATAGATAGATATACTGACATGTGATGTGATCACTTAGGTTCACTACCAGGCGACACACCTCTGATACCTTATACTTCGTTTGGACTCATGGTCATATTCACTGGCCTTCTATTCTCTAGTGTCGTTGTCTTGGATATATGTTAGCATACATTATGAACAGAACGCGTTAATACCGATCATTCAATCACACAACACTCTTGGTCCAAACATACTTCCATTCAATCATTCAATCAAACAATCAACAAACAGCGCTGCGCAATACGGGGAGAGAGAGAGAGAGATCGATGCATCAAATGGTCCACTCCTCATTATTATTTGGACATTTTATTAAATGTCTGGAAATCATGTACATCGAATACGCTGGCTGCCAGTCTAGACTTGGGTCATTCATTCATTCATTCACTCAATAATATTGTGTTGTTATTGTTATTGGCAGTCAGGTCATTCAATCAATCAAATTGATTAAGCTGGGAAACTTGTCTCATTGAACTCCTCCAGATCCGAAGCGGAAACAGTTCCATCAAGGGAATGAACACCACTCATACCTCCAACATTTGCAGAATAACTATTCAAAGAGGCAGGGGCTGCAACTGTTGGTAACCTAAATAACAATGGAGATGAGTCAGTACAAATCCAATCAATCATCCATTCAAATCCATCATTCAATCAATCAAATTATAATACCATATAGCCAAGTAGAGTTTCTGGTCAGCTCCTACAAAGACGAAACGAGGTTCGTTGGCTGGCAACATTGCCTTGAAGGTCTCAATCGATTCTTTTGGCTTAAGAGTGTTCTCAACATTGAACTGAGTGCCTGCAGTGTTCAACTTGACAAACACATATCCGTAGGCCTTCTGGTCACACATCTTTGTGACTTCATTAACGATATCTTGTCCAATAATAGCAACTGACTAAATAATAATAATAATTAAATATTAGTTAGTTAATTTTATTAATTAAAATATTATTATTATATCAACTTACCATTTTGTTGTATATATATATTTATTAATAATATTATTCGATTGACTTGTTTGTTTGATTGGTTGGATGGTTGGGTAATGATTGTTGTTGAATTTGAATAAATAGAGCAAATGGTTGGAGTGATGTTCACACTACTCAGGAAATTATCCAATCAATATATTTGTTGCCGAAGGTGATCTTCAATCAATTCAAACTTCATTTCCAACACACGTATACATACACACAATTAGTACTCCACAATGATCGAATTATTTGTTTGACCAGTCATACCTATTTGAGTGTTTGGGGGTGTAATGTGTATTCATACTAATTATTATATATTCTGGTCAGGTGTGTTGGATGAATCAGATGAAGGGACTATATTGATGGGGGTCGATAATGATCGTCGCTGTATAAAAGTATTTGGATACCACCTCTCTTACATTGTAATTTATATGAGAGGTCAATATTGACCAATTTCTTGCTGATGATTTCAGTTCAATCTCGGCTGCACATCACTGTAGGGTAGCAACACAACAATCAACATTAACCAATAAGTGGTGGAAGGAGTCTGTCATCACATGATTGTTGGAATGGAATCAATCCAAAATAAATATAAAAATAAAATAATAATAATAATATTAATAAAATATTTATTTATTAATATATTATGGATTTGTTTGTGGAATGGCTCTGAACCTCTCGGCAACCCAGTTGGGCCATTGTTCAGCCTCCAATACATGTTCGTTGATGGCCTCATCGTACATATCGTAGGCATCTACGTTGACTGGATTGCCCATCAGCACGTTCTGTAGCTTGGCCGCCACGACAAGACTGATAAAGTACTTCTTCTTGAGCATCTCGTAGTTGGACATGGAATCTTGCATCTTCTTGACCACCTCGTCGGCACCTTGTTGTCTCATCAATGTAATATTCTGTTGGTTTCGCTGCTGTAGGTCCTGCTTCAATCTCTGTATCGTATCTTTGTACACCTTTTCCTGTTGTCTCATCTCTGTCTCCAATCGTTGCATCTAAAGTAAAGTATGATATGTTAGTATTGTGATTGATTGGAATGATTCCGGATTGATTGAGTGATGGATGGACAACATACTTGTAGGCCAAGGAAGGCATTGTGGGTCTGATGAGCGATTGAACTCTCACGCATGTTCTCCATTAGTTCCTCGGGTGACATCTTCATGGACTTGCGACTGGTGAGCTTCTTGCTAGTGTCAGCGCTTGAGAACTCTCGGGACACGGCCATGCCATTCTCAAAGTCTGCTCGCACCTCTTTGACATTGTTCTCGAGCAGGCCCAGCTTGGCATCCTTGATCTTCATCTCCTCCTCCCACATCTTTTGCTTGTCGCTCAGCATCTGGTAGTCGCATTGCATGTCGATCAGCTTGTTCTCTGAGGTGATCAGACGATCCTTCATCTGCTTGAGTTGCGTCTCTAGCTGTGCTGTGCTCTCGCCGCCCTTGCCGGCCTTGGATCTGGCCTCGTCAAGCTCGCGACGCAGCGTCAGGTTCTGATTGCCCTGCTCGGTGATTGTCTGGCTGGCCTTGGACAGGCCACCCTCGAGGTCCTGCAACAGCAGTAGCAGCTTCTTTTGTTCGTTGACTGAGTGCTCCTTCTGCATGCCCTGTGTGTTCTCGAATGCCTTCATCTGTGATCGTAGCAGTGTGGACAGGGTGTTGAGCTGGCTGGTCTGATCCTTGAGCTTAACCGACTCGCTCTGATAGGCGTTGTTGATCTGCGAGATCTCGTCGTTCCTGTGGGCCAGCTCGTCCTTCTGAGACTCAGCCTCCAGACTGGTCTGAGACATCTGGTCGGTGATGTCCTGGAGACGACGAGACGATGACTCGACAGTCTGTGTGAGCGCTTCGATCTGCGACTGCTTGGTACGCGTATCGTCGCGCATCTTCTGCAGGTTCCTGCTCTGGAAGTCCGTGATGGTGCTGTTGGTGTCGATTGTCTGTTTGTAGTACTCCAGCTTGTCGTCCTTCTGTCGCTTCTCATTCTCCAACGCCACGACCATGTCTCGGTACTCGGCCAGCTTCTGGGCGATCACAGAATTGGTGTCGCGCAGCGACAGCGTCTCCTGGCGCAATGTATCGATCTCCATGTCCGTGACGTTCTTGAAGTTCCTCGACTGCTCGCTGATCAAGTCCATCAAATGTGTGGTGTTGGCGATGGTCGAAGTCAAATCATCGATCTGTACCAGCTTGTTGTCGTTGAAGTCCTGTAGGCCCTTGACGTGGCCGTTCAGCACCAGCGACTTGTGCTCGCTCTGGTCGTACTTGCTCTTCAACTGACGGTTCTCAGCATCCAATCGCTCATTCTCGCGCTTGAGCACCTCGTTCTGTTGCTTGGCGTCGCTGAGCTCCTGGGCCTTGAGCTCGCTGACCTTGCGGGTTGGGTCGAGGATCTGCAGCCACTTCTCGCGCTGCTCGTTGCTCGACGCCTGCAGCAGCCACACGCGGCGAAGCTGGATGATGGCAAAGCCAAACGCCAGCTCCTCCTGAGGGATGGTGACGATGGTCGTGTTGGTCAAATCGATCTTCTTGTTCTTGAGTGCGTAGTCCTTCTCGTTGTGGCTGTAGTAAAGGAAGGGCTTCTTCCACACGAAGAAGCGAGGCTTCCACTCATCCTTGTATGTGGACTTCTTCTTGAGGTAGCCACGCAGCTCGTCCTCCTTGATCAAGGCACCAGAACTAATCTCGTTGACCTTGACATCGATCACTGTTGTTGTGAGCGCCTTGCGCTGACCGCCCGTCTTGCTTGTCTCGGGTGTGGTGATGTTGTTCATTTGTGAGATCTTGCGTACGACCTCCTCGGCGAGGATGCGATCGACATGATCGCCGCCCTCGTCGTCATCGGTGGAAGGCATGCGGTCGCGGATGGTGCATAGCTTCTGGCGAAGGTCGAGCTCCTGGCGCAGCTTCTCAATGCGCATGGCGTAGCCCAGCTTGAAGATGTTCTCGTGATGACGGTCGATCATGTCACCAATCTTGTTCTGATGCTCCAGCTGGTGGGACTTGGTGCAATGCACGTTGAACACGGAGCCAGAGTGCAGCATCGATGACTCCTTGTCGTGCAGGATGCTCTCGCTCTTGAAGTGTGTCTTGAAGCGGTCGAGAAGGTTGCTCATCGATGTGTTGGCGCTATCGGGCAGTGTGATGAACGAGTCTGACGAGAGAATCTTGACCGACAGGTCCTTCTGCAGTGTGATGTCGCCGGGGAAGTCCAATACATTGAGTACAAAGGTGATCTTGAAGATGATCCTGCTACCTTTGCGAGTCTTGAGATTGAGTAGGTAGGACGGGTCGGAGTTGTCCCACGACACAATGATCGTGTCATCACTGGACGCGATGACTGGCAGCTCGTAGACCGCATAGTTGGGATCGGTGACGCGGCCTGCCAGCGATGCGCCGCTGGTTGGCGTGCCAAACAAGTTGGTGGCCGATCCGTTGCTGCCAGTGTTGTATGAGACGGGTGTGCCTGATGGCGTGTTGTTGGTGAAGCTCGACGATGAGAATGGTGTGATGGGCGTCGAGGGTGGTGCTGTGTTGCGGCTGCCGCCGCCTGGAGTCGATGGGGTAGATGGTGTGCCCGAGCCCAGCAGCGGCAGGACACCTGTTGGTGCCTCGCGCTTGCCAATCACTCTGGGGTTGCTGATCTTGACAGACTTGCACTCCTTGATCGTGATGGGCATGTTGACGCCGACCGGGTTGAACAGCTTCAGCACGATCTGGCGATGAGTGAGCTGCTTCTTGAGGCGGAAGGTCACAGAAGGCAGGTTGTTGGCAGTGTCGCTCTCCTCCAGTATGTGTACAGGCTTGAAGGCAGGAGATTGATCGGGAGCCGGTTGTTCAGGTTCCAGGATGTTGAGCGAGGCCATAAAGTCGTACGACTCGATGATAGGCTTCTTCAAGGACTCTGGGATCTCCAGCGACTTGTCCAGCTGACTTGTTCGCTTGCCCCATAGCTCAATGGCGAGATAATGTGTCTCAAAGAAGTTGACCATCTCATCAGTGACATTCTGAATCGATATCTTCTTCTCATCCTTGAATGATTGAATGGTTGTTGATACCTTTGATTGATTGATTGATTGAGGATGTGAGTGAGTAAGGGTGGCCGCGCACGTGGACTGACCTGACCGAGGACTTACATTGCTTTGGTAACTCTCAGAGTTAAAGGTGAACTTTGAATAGACATCGACGTACTTGTCTTTGAAGTCGCTGATGGAGGTGAGTTGAGCCGTGATGGTCATGTGCTTGCCGATCAAGGCAAAGGAGCCTTCTTCGAGGAGGGATGGTTGGTCCTCCTGAGTGATCTCGTCAGACTTGGGTGTGATTACAACGTTGAGGAATCCCTTCAACGATCCATTTGTATCGAGTATAGGTATTGGCTTCTTGATCTCGATAAAGTACAACAGGTTCTTCAAGTACACGTGTGATACACCAATCAATGACGACTCGTTAAAGTTGAACTTGAATGGGTCACCTAGTTCAGAGTCGAGCTACATGTAGTGTCGCGCCAGGGTTAGGGTGTGATGGAGAGTGATTAATGGACTAGGACTTACCTTGCCATCGTTTTGGTATAGCTCGCGCATAGAGTACACTCTGTCAATGAAGTCCTCGACAGAGATGATGGTGTCCTCGCCAGTGTCCTTCTTGATCACCTTGATGCTGATTTGTGTCTGTGTTTGAGTGAGGCAAGGTTAGTGTACTGTAGCGCGATAAGGACCATGTATAACATACCATTCTCCAATCAACTTCCACCTCGTCAGTGGCGTTGAGTTGCTCTGGTAGTAGGTAGACGGCGGACAACTTGAGAGAGAAGTCGACGTTCTTGGTCAGGGTGTCAGAGATGGCGTTGGCTTCGTTGAGAGAGAGGATGAGATGGGAGATTTGATTGAGTAGTCGTGATCTGTAGACCTTGGAGCGCCATCTTCGCAGCGCCAATATGGCCAGGTTGTCACGTCGCTCACGCTTCTCGGGCGTAAAGTCCATCTCGAGCTGGGTCCTCAGCTGACTCAGCTGCTTCTGGAACTCGCGACTCTCATCGAGCTGGCGGTTCATGCTCAGGTTGCCCTGCACCGAGGCCAGCTCATTGAGAGCAAAGTCGTAGTCGATGATCTGGTCGCTCTTGTTCTGTTTGCTGCCCTGCTGTGTGGCACCGCGCTCGCGGGCCAACTTGGCGGCCTCTTCCGGGTTGTTGAAACGGAATATGTGGTTGTTGCCCAAGATGACGCGGTTGCCCGTCGTCAGCACGGTGGGAGCGCTGATCTCCACACCGTTGACAAAGATGCTCGAATGCGGCCTGGTCTCTTCCAGCACGGGGATGATCGTGACGATGCCATTCCTGCTCTCGATGATACAGTGCTCCTTGGCGATGCCGAGTCCATTCAGAACAATGTCCTGTGTTGCCTCTGCATCCGATCTTCCAATCTTTGTCTCTCCCTCCTTTAGATAGTACAACAATGACTCTGACATCAATGGATCATCGTTCAAATTGATCAAATGTGGAATTGATGATACGACCTTGATAGCTACACCAGTGTCCCTAAGTGATGACATCCTCTCCTCTCTAATCTTCTCGGACTCTTGTAGTCTCTCCTCCCATGACTTGTTCATCTCTGCCATCAACTTCTCATATTGCTCTATCTTCTCATTCAAACTCATTACCTCTGTTGGATTGATGGATGGATATATGAGTGAGTGAATGAATGAGCGAATGAATGAATGATTGATCGCATGTACTTACCATCACTTCCAACACCCATGAGCTTGGCCTGATCGACGGCAGTCAGCCCACCAGCGGACAACAAAGCCTTTAGACGCTCGACCTCGGTTTGAAGCTCACGGATAACTTTGGATTGAGCATCCTCATTGATGGTGGCTGTGGTCTTGATCTTCTTGGCGCTGTCTGCATAACGCAGTGTGCTCAGTGTCTCGTCGTAGTTGATGTCAGCAGGACTGATCGCGGCAATCATGATGGTCTTGGAATTGCCACCGAGCGACTCCTTGAGCAGATAGGTCAGCACCGAGTCACGGAACGGCACAAACGTCGGCTTCTTGTGTGGGTTGGACGAGTTCTCGGCCAGCGCACTTATGACCTTGCCCAGCGTCGACAGCGACTTGTTGATGTTGGCACCCTCCTTGAGACGCATGCCTGTGGCGCCTGTGCTCGCTGCACGCTCACTACCTGCCAAATCGACAAGACTGACTTTGCTGACTCTGTCCACGGCCACGCCTCTAATCCTATCGATCTTTGTCTGTGTAAACACAATCGTGAACACAGCGTGTGATCTAGATGAAGTAGCATTCATATTTGTTGAGGCCACTGTACGTGCCTTGCTTCCTTCATCCATCAGCATCTCAATCTCTTGGAAGCTCTTGACTGCCAGCCTATTGATTGATCAAGTGATTGAGTGAGTATGAGTGTTAGTGTGATTGATTGAGACAAAGGGGCATTGGATGAACTTACTTTGAAAGATCCTCGACGTATGGACCTGTTGTTGGGTTGTTCCTGACCTTGAGGCCACCTGGTTTGTTGTTCTTTGGGTTGAGGAGATCTTTGACTCGCTCGTTATATATCTCCATGAAGCTGACCTCCACCTTGAACACAGTCTGCTCAGTTGGCGTTGATTGTGTGTTGCCAATTCGATTGAACATCTCCTCGCATACCAATGGAATGATTCCCTTCTCTGATGATCGATATGGGTTGGGTTGGGTCAGTATCCAGGATACTTGAATTGAGTTGAATCGAATGAACATACCTTCGCCATAACCAAGCATAGAGTATGATTTACCAGAGCCAGTCTGTCCATAAGCAAAGATTGAACTGTTGTAGCCTTCCCAGGCATTTTGAAGGACTTCGCGACCTAGGTCATCAAAGACTATGCCTTGGGTTGCATAGTTTGGATCTGCATTGTCGAATGACCAATAAGAATGATCGAATGTGAATGACTTCTCATCCTCTGCCGTTGGAGGTGCATTTGGATTGGCACGCAAGTTTGATGGTCTAATCAACACTGTCTTATTTCCATTCATCTTGACAATGCATTCGGCATTCCTGTCCATCTCCCTGTTGATTGTTGTTTTGTTCGTTTGGTCACATTGTATGAGTGATTTGATTGATTGGCGTTGTGATCTTGTTCATTTCTTACCTTCCATTGAAGGGTCTGACCCTCACTGCGACCTTGACTCCTGATGACATCTTGGAATAATAGGAAGAGGAGGTATATTCAATATGGTTTATATATTATGTATTTAGTTGATTGATTGATTGATTGATATGGATTGGATGATCGATCGATTGATTTGATGATTGATTGATATGGATGATTGATTGAAAACACTAAACAATGTTTATAGAGTGACACACTACACCTATCTCTATCTATTATCTGTCTAACTAATAATAAACAAACTATCTCTCGCTTCCTCTCTGTCTAACTCGCAATGCCAAGCGAGGATCTCAATGCGCCAGGGGGTTGTTGTGGTTGGTTCATTCATTTATTCATTCATTCATCGTGCAGCTCAAGGGAGGGCAGGCATAACCCTTTTTGGAGCGACACACACTTCAAAAAATCTTAGTTGTGCTGGTTTCAAACAAATTAGAATAATGATAAAGTTCCTTGACCTCTTCCCTTCTTCACTCTTTGTGTGAACCTCCCCCTTACATAAAACATATTTATCTTTATTTGATTGTTTTTGCAAAATGTTGACAACGAAGCTCATTGTATCCTTCTGATTCGACGGCTTGTCAATCAAGCCTCCAAGACGAGTAGTCGAGTTCAATTTTTTTGTGCCCCTCCCTTCACTTCATTCATGTTCCAAACTTAATAATAATGGATAGCGTAGTCATCACGCCAAAGGATGATGTCCAACAATCATAAATCAATCATAATAATATATATGTTATTCCATCGTTAATATCAACTCCAACAATGATACCAAGCCATCGACGCCAAGTATCTCCTTTAGGAATGATTTAAAGTTGTCTGGATCTATGATGGTGAAGCATGTTAGGATGATGATAGAATGATTGATTGATCGCGAATGAATGAACATACCTGTGAGGAATAAACTGGTCATTCGACCAATGATAACATCTTTGTTACCTTGGGATATGTCCTCGATCAGGAGATTGGTCAGCTCGTCAAATAGTGGAGAGATTGGTGAAGAGTCCACTGTGTTGTCAATGATCACTGGAGGAGGTGGAGGTGGAAGCTCATTGATGTACTGATCGACTGGCGACGAGGAGTAGCCAGATGGCGAGGGCGGCAGCGGGAGCCCGACCATTCCACCCATGTCCTCTCCGCCCGCCGTCGACTTATCACTCTGGAATATGAAGTCCTTATTGTCGAGCATCGCGGCAACCATGTTGCAATGGTTCTGAATCTGCTGGAACGAGTCTGCCGTCTGTGAGTTTGGCTGTATCGAGCGGATGAGGTTGGGCGCGAAGCACACTGCCAGTGCGACCGAGTTCATCTTGTTTGTTGGGGAGTTGGAGATGATGTGCTGGTGGAGGAAGTCCACGAGGTAGTTCAATATCTTTAAGTTCTCATTCGGTAGCTTTGTGATAAAGTCCCTGATTGCCGTCACCGTTGTTGGCGTCGCCATGTTGGGGAACAGCTCTATCGGTATCAGGGGGAACTTGGACTCGCGAAGATACAGCTTGAGCAGTCCTGCCAAGTCATGTGTCGTGTGGCTAATGTCCAGATTGAGTTCAGCTGATTGATTGAAAGGAGTGACATGTCAGATGATTGATTGATCGATCAAAGTTGGAGATACTAACGAGTATTGAGTGATAGCCACAATGTCCTTATTGTCTCTGCATTGCCATTGATTCGGAATATTCCTTCGGTATTGGATACTACATGATCATAAATGTTAGTGTCGGTCGGTCCATCACTTACTTCAATCAATGTAATGTACTCACCATCAGCCTTCTTTAGTGCTTCGACAACTCTGTAGACATTGAAGTAGGAGAGATTGGATGAGTTGTAGGGTGCGTTGAGGATGTGTCGTTCATAGAGTGAGTCGCGAGATGGTCGATGTGTAAAGAACTTCTTTAACTTGTTTGATATGATCGTTGACTTTGTGTTTGACTTGGCGTCTCTTGGAGGTGGAGGTGGAGGTGGACTCTTCTGAGGTGGTCCATTTTGTTGTTGTTGTTGTTGTGGCTGTTGCTGATGTGAAGTTGACAAAGGCTGTGAATGTGATGCTGATGTTGTCAGTGGAGATGAATGATAATGTTGATGTGGATTAGCATTTGGCAAAGGTGCAGAAGTAGGTGGGAGAGTGAGAGGTGGAGGAGGAAGTGGCGCCGCCAATGCTCCTGGCTTAGGTCTTGATCCTGGAATATTCATTATTTAATTATTTAAGTATTATTATTAATATATATTATTTGTTATATTAGTTATAAGTAGTTGTAATGTGAAGTGATCGAGTAGTGTTCAATCATTCATTCATTCATTGTTTGATGGACACCCCTTTGCATGTAGACACACAATCAATCAATCAAATACAATACACACACACCATCAGTTTAAACGTATTTGCCTCGAGGGAAGGGTGAATGTATGATCAATGATTGAATAAGGATTGTCCAGTCCATGTTTGACCCGAACGATTATTTGAATCAAATTGTGGGTGTTGTGTGGGGCAATGTCACATTGATTGGCAGCTCGTGGGTTCCGGCAGTGTCAAATGACCACATCTTCACATCACAATGTTTGGTTACATCAAATTAATTGCCTGTGATAGGACCAGGGTCGCAAGTTTGTAAGATCACGATCAGGTCCAGGTAGGCATCTGAATAAACACGAACGACTGATCAGTGGATGGGCTGTTTGCAAGATGTTCCAAGGTTTATGAATGGAGTTTGCTTTGAAGATGAAAGGAGTAAAGTTGATTGGTTGATTGATTGAAAGGATGGAAGGACGACACTCTGTCGCCAAGAGATCTAAAGTTGTTTTGTGTTTTGCGTGATACGTTCTGATGATGATGGCACTACTGCTCATTGGTTGGTTCGTTCAGATGCTCCTGGATGAGCGACTCAATCTCTGCATCTTCATTGTGGCTTGGCTCGGTTGGCTTCATTTCAAAGTCTGCGTCATACTTCTCTTTCTTTTTCTCCTCGATCAAACGACTTGACTCCTCAGAGATTGAAGTGAACTGGTTCTCTACGGATTGCGAGATGTTGGTGGCCGTCTGCTTGATTCCCGTGCCCAGACTGGAGACCATGTCCACGCCCTTGGACACGGTGGGGTTCTCCTGTGCCTTGGCAGCCAACGTCGACATCTGTTGCGAGATCATGTCCGTGGCACTCTTGAACATGCCACTGATCTGGAATCGCTCGTCCACAGCCTTGGCCTTCTCCACCACGGCAGTCTTGACAGCGGTGGCGTTCTCTCCAATGTGCATCTCCTTTGCCTTCTCCACAACAGCGGTCTTGATTGCACTCGCTCCCTCACTGATGTGCAGCTTCTGATCGATCTCTGAGGCGGTCGCCTTGATCGACTCGGCGCCACCCTTGATCTTGTTGGAGATGTTGTTCTCCTCGTCCACCTGTCTGGCCTTGTGGATGGCCTCCTGTCCCAGTGTGTATCCAGCCGCCAACATTGATGCAATGACCGATGTCTTTGTTCTCTCAGAGTCTGGCACGGTGTGCTCGCGATTGGTTATCGAGTCCTTTGACAAGTTCACAGCTGGGTTGTGCTCGCCACCCAAGTTTGACGATGAGTCACTATTTACACTGATGGCATCGGCACTCTGTGGTGAGCTGACCGTTCTGTTACTAGAGTCCACTGGACCATGTATCGATGCATTATATGGAACCACCTGTATGACCTTGTCCACAATCAATGCATTGGTCAACAACAATGCAGTCTTGGCAGCTGACTCTGTCTCAAATACAACTATTCCTTCTTGTGCAGATCTAGCTGCATCTCTATATTCATTCATTCATTCAGTAATTGATTAGTACATTATCCAATCAATCAGTCCATCATCCAAGTCAAGTCTACAACATACTCTCTCAATACCAAGTCGATGATCTTTCCACAGAATGAGAAGAAGTCTGAAACAGTCTTTGTATTTGCTTTGTATGATATATTTGTAACAAATACTGCCTCTATGTTCTATATTCATGTACATTGAATGTTAGCTTATTATTACAATGATGATTGATCACTCATTCAATCATTCATTCATTCAATTAATCAACTATAATATACTCACTCTGGCTTGTGTTGGTGATGATGATTCTGACATTATTTATAGTTAGTTTGTGTATATGTATGTAGATATAGTTTATGTATATGTAGGTAATAGGTTATATTATTGAATGATGAAGATACAACAAGTCAAGTGAAGTGGGGAAGTTGATTGATTGAATGACACGATGAGGGGTGTGTGGTGGAATGGGGGTGGTGTCGTGGAATTCCCAACTTGCCAGGTTCGAGTCAACAAGGTCTGAGTGTGTCCTGGAACATGGACAAAGGTACACTTGGATCATTACCATGATCATCTGATCGATCAATCATTGAATGAAGATATAATACTAATGAATAACAATGATATGATGTGATGGATTGATTAAGGGGTATTATTACAACTTTTTGACAATGGGAGCAGCCTTGGAAATGACTGTTGCAGTGGATGTGATCGTTGGTCTTGTAGCCACTGGTGATGACGTAGCTGGAGTTGATGGCTTATTCTCCTTCAATTCCTTAACTTCTCTCTCAAGTGCACTATATTTGATTGATTGATTGATTGATTAGTGATTGATTGATTGAATGATTGAAAGGCAATGAATGAACTTACGCAATTCTTTGTTGCAGTGCCTCTGTTTCTTGTTGATGAGCGACAACCAGTTGCTTGGTGAACTCTGCCAATAATGGTTGGAGCAACTTGTCAAAGGATCCTGATGATGTTGAGGAGGAGGAACCGTGGTGTGGAGCCAGAGCTGGTGATTTCTTGGTGTCTGGTTGGGATGGTGCTGGGGTTGATACAGCGGCAACAGGTGCTTGTGCAACTGGCGCAACTGGTGCAACAGCAACTGGTGCTGGAGCTGGTGTTGGTGCAACAGCAACTGGAGCTGGAGCTGGAGTATGAACTGGTGCTACTGGAGCTGGAGCTGGAGTGTGGACTGGTGCAACTGGTGTTGGAGCAGGCTTGTGGACTGCTGGAGCGCTTGGGAGCTCTCTCTTGGCTGGGGCGGCAGTCTTTTGGACTGGTGCCACTGGTGTTGGAGCCTTGGCTGGGGCTGGAGCCGGAGCAGGGGTGGGTGTAACCTTGACTGGTGCTGGTTGAACTGGTGCAACAGCAACTGGAGCTGGAGCCTGGGGCTCTGGCTCTGGGACCACCTCACCGCTGGTCTCGTAGAATGAGTATGCGTTGGGGTCGGCTGCTGCGTCGTATGTGTCGGCCTCGGGCTCAATCCACTCGACACAGTTGTTGGGGAAGTAACCAGAGGTCTCGCCAACGAATCCCTCCCACCAGTACTCGTCATCCCAGGCGTACACGGCAATGGTGTCGCCAACGTTGAGGTTCAGCTCACCCTCGTCGGCGGCGGCGTGCGCATAGACGACGCGGGCCTTGGGGTAGAGCTCGGCAAAGTCCTGCTCGGTGACTTGGGCCTCGACGGCAGCGGGTGCTGGTGCCGGGGCGTCCTCGATGAACTTGACAAAGGTGCGTGGGAAGTAGCCGACCTGTCCGTTGACAGAGCCGCCCAGCCACTCGGGGTTGTCCTCCTGGATGACCTCAATGATGTCGCCTGTCTTGATGGACAGCTCGTCCTCGCTGGTCTTCTGGTAGTCGTACAAAGCCTGTACCTTCTTCTTGGCGGGGGCTACGACGCCCGTGCCACCAATACCGTGGGCCTTCTTCCACTCGATGATCTTCTGGATGACCTTTTGTTCGCGCTTTCGCAGTGCCTCTGTCTCGTTCTTCTTGACCTCGATCTGCTTGTCGAGACTCTCGAGCGACTTTGTGTCCTTCTGCTTCTCGTAGACCTCGCGCATGTGCTCCATGCCCTTGCGACCCTTGACACTGTTGTCGATGGCATCCCTGATCTTGGTGAGCGTCTGCTCCATGAACTTGGGGTCGGACTCTTGATCCTTGATCGTTCCGATCTCGGCCTGCAGCGACTCACGCTTCATCTTCATCTCATCGAGATGTCTGGTCTTCTCCTTGAGTGTAGACTCTACCAACTTGGTCTGCTTCGAGTCGCTCTGTGTTTGATACACCTGCAACATCTTTGTCATACCCTTGATAGCAATATCCGACTCATTGATCAATGTGTTCAAAGTCTTTATCTCCTTCTCAATGTCTTCAATTTCTCTCATTCCTGGTCGTAGCAAGTGTGGGAGTATGTACATGTTAGTCAGCTGAATGATCGCGCGGCAACATCGACAACATACCATTGTCCAACTCCTTGATGGTGAATCTTAGGGTGCAGTTGTTCTGATCGGTGACCTTGAAGTCGCACTCAAAGTTGGGAGGGGCGACACGACGGAAGCCACGCTTGCCAAAGTATGGGTTGTTCCAGAAGAACTCAAACTCGAGGGACGAGCCATCGACCGTGTAGATGGAGCCAGCCTCTGTGCTGCCGAGGATTGCAGTGGACTCTGAACCAAACTCCACTGTACCCAGAGGCAGGATGACATCAGGTGGAGGCACCTTCCACTGTCCACTTGTCAAAGGATGTGACTTTAGCACCAACTTCTTTGACGAAGAGTTATAGATTGACACACGCACACTGCGTGCTGCCTTATTCATTTCATCCAATATATCCATTCTACTATCTCTATTCTATTATTTGTTTGTTATTATTATTATTATTATTATTACAATTATATCTATCTAGTTGTAGTAAGACCTTGAGTTAATACCTGTTGTAGTAGTGATGCAGGTTGAAATAAATGGAGATATTATGAATTGTTGATGATGATATTTGACATGAGACCATGATTGAAACCCAACATTAATTGAAATTGTTTTGTTTTCAATGATGTGATACTTCTTTTGCCCGAAGTCGGCTTCATGAAGGCACAATGACTATTCGATCACAACAACAATGAATACCCTTATATCATATGATATAAATAAATAAATAAAAATATATGTTTGATTTATTTACTGAGTGAGTGGAACTATCCCACCTTCCAGGTTAACAATCACTACAGTGAAATATATAGATCAAATAATGATCGATCTATTATTTTTCTAATTAAGGATTGGATTATTTATGTACATGCACAAATGTACATTTATTAAATATCACTACTTGTTGTATCTCAAATACAAATATAACAAATAACCCACTTGAACACGTCGACACTATTGTATCTTTTGTATCTTGCCAATCAATCACCAATCAGAGTGAGTTCATGCATTATGCAGTCCTTGTGCACACAAGAAACACTCTTTAGAGTTTTCCAAAACAAAGAAAGATCTCGCTTGTTCAAGTTAGGGTAGGTTTGTTTGTTTGGTTCGTGTTTATGTATGTTTGTGGTTGACTAGTGCTAGCAACTTGAATGGTTGAAGAGCAGGAGTGTGGGGGTTTGGTCATGCATGCAAACATGCGAGGGTCAATGACATGACCCGAGTGAGTTCACCTTTATTCACTTTCAAGTCAACAACGTCATTGTATTTATATATATATATATACAACTCATTATTATTACGTATAATAATACAATGAGGTAACATTCACAAACAAACACTATTCACATCAACAACAACAACAACAACATTGAACTGACACATAGTATATATACCAAACCTTAGGTTGATGAAATATAGCTTACAACATCAGGCTAATAGGATGGTCTATGCTGTTGTGGTGGCACTGGTGGTGCTGACCTGCAGCGGCTTGACATTGGCCCAGATGGCAACAAGCGATGAGGCTTGCCCTTATCAGGCATTGCCCACCAATTTGAACTCACTCGATATGCTCGGATTCAATCAAGAGATGCATCTGCAGCAGACCTACTATTATAACTTCAAGAGCTTCTCACAAGACATCTATTTCACACTCCAACAGCCCAGTGCATTCAGAGTGTACGTCGCGCCCAGCGAGGCCGACGTCGACCTCTGGCTCTATCCAGCCGCCTCTAGAACGCCCATTGTCGTGAGTATCTCGTCCCCATGGGACATAAGACTCAGGGAGGCGATCACTCACACTCTTCCATCGATCATAATAGCACTCAGCCGATACGACAACAGGAATGGACGAGTCGATCAATGCGACCCTACCAGCAGGAGACTACAAGCTTAGATTCTTGTTCTTCTCAGTCACAAAGGCAAAGGGATTGGCATGTCCAACCCTCACACTCGAACTTGCCATTGTACCAACTGTAAGTGTTCACGTGGACATGACTTGCAAGGCCCAAGACCAATCGCGACTGTTGCTGACAAAACATCCGACACATCCCAATGATCTTAGGCAACATTGGTAACAAGATCAAGCAGCGTTGTTTGTCCATCGACATCTCAGGCACCCACATTCCAGCTCAACTTTAACAGCACGGTGGGTGCAACATACTCGTACGATTCGGATATTGATCAAGCGGGCACAGTAATGAACATCCGTCAATCAGCCAGCAACACTGTCAACTTCTTCCAGAAATACACACTCAACATGCCCGCTGGCGTCATCGACACTGACAAGTGGGGCGTCGAGATCACACTCGGCTCTGACTTTATCACTGGAGGATCATTAGGGTAATGCATTGCATCCACTCGTCCCGCGTGCAACCTAGTCGCGCTCATTCACTCACTCACTCATTCATTCATACTCAACTAGACTCCTGATACAATCAACTGATGCACTAGACCCCACACCAAAGTTCCCTTGCTTGAAGCCAGGAAACTGCACAATCGGTGTACACTTGACAAAGAACCACGCTACACTCAAGACTGTGTTGCTGCCAGGCACCTACAACCTCTACCTCTATGATCAGACGTCAGAGAAGGACTTTAACATTGGGCCCAGCTGCACGATCTATTCGCTCAAGGTCGACATTGGATCAGCTCACGAGACAGAGACTTTTTTGAACTGTGATGCCAACAACCTTCCCGACTCGTTCAACTCTGTTGGCTACATCGATGATGGTGGATATCTATACTTTAGCGAGGATGTCTTTTTAGATCTCGTCGCCAAGCAAGACACAGTCAATGTATGTGTTTGACTGACAAGCAGTCAGGCTGGCATGACATGACATGCCATCCAAGCAGCATCACTAACATCCTCATCATCCCAGTTCACTCTTGACACACCTAGCTACGTCCGTGCTTACATCCCATCACATCGTGTTGACATTGATCTTGAGATCACAAACTCAACTGGCATCTTGGTGTCATCGTTCAAGCTTGGTGGCGAGGAGGAGATCACAGCGTTCCTCTACCCAGGCGACTACCAGTTCAAGGTGTTGTTCTGGGGCAAGAACATCGATATATTCTGCGATACGTTCAGTCTGGAGTTTGCCATCGCGCCACAGTCAGACTACAATGAGCTCAACTACTGCCAGAACATCACGGCCAACTTTTTGCCCGCACTATCTGGCATCCAGAAGGCACTCGACGACAGTGGAGGCTTCTTTGTCTTTAACAACATCTCGTCGCTGCCAACTTACGCGCTGACCGACCTGAGCACCGTGCAGAACTACACGTTCACCATCGACGGCCCTTCATACTTCTCGTTGGAGTTGGACTCTAACTTCATCCTGGGCGACATGCGCGCCATGCTGATCACAGAGCCCGACGAGCACCACGACGACCCAATCGTCAACCTCGGCACACACTCCCGCAACACCCATCACATCTTCCTCCAGCTGGAGAACGGCACGTACACGCTGTCGTTGCTTCCAGGACTCACCTCCAAGAACTCCAAGTTCCTCCCATCCTGCATCCTCTTCTCACTCATCATCACCATCGAGCCCTTCGTCGTGGCCAAGCCATGCTTTGGCAACCTGCTGTTCCCCGTCAACCTGAACACGCCTGGCTATCTCGGCACGTCGACCTCGATCCATCTCACCGACGAGTTCTTGGTGCCCGATATCAGCGCCATCACCATCGAACAAGAGACCGTCTTCAACGTGAGCGTTCCATCTTTCTTCCGCGCCTTTATCGAGGACTCTGACATTGATGTGGACATTACACTCTGGGAGGGCACCAACAAGGTAGTCAAATCCGGCAACTTCAACGGCGAGGAGTCCCTCGAGTACATGCTCAAGGTTGGTGTCGCATATCGCTTCGTCATCTCGTTCTACCACTGGCCCATCGTCACTCCCGCGCAACAGTGCTACCTGTACAGCGCGGCACTCGCCATCACACCCGCATCGGAGAACCCCAAGGACAAGTGCAAGTCAAACATCCTGCCCGACGCCAACTTTGTGCCCACGCCCGACCTCACGTACAAGCCCAACCACGGCGCGTTCCGCTTCACTCAGGGCAACTCCACATTCTCCCAGGACATCCCCTTCACCGTGCCCACCAAACAGAAGCTCAACGCCATGTTCCGCGCCATCCTCACCTACGACTTTGTCTGGAATGACGTCGTCATTGCCCTAAAGAGCTCGACCGGCACCATCATTACCTACTCCACGCTCGGCTACAACAGCGCCAACATCTTCCCCATCTCTCTCACGCCCGGCAACTACCTGCTCAGCATCTACGAGCCCTTCCTCACGTACACCAACAACAAGGGCGTCGCTCTTACCAACTGTGTTGAGTTCACACTCGATGTCGGTATCCAGCTCGTGGACAACACTCAGGTCCAGCAGGACACCATCGTCTGTGACAGTCTCCTCCTGCCCAACACCTTCAATTCGATCGGCTACATGTCGGCCCTCACTGGCAATGCCCTCTCCTTCCAACAACAGGTGCTTGTCGACGTCATGAAGGGCAGCGACACTGTGGCTCTCAGCCTTGCCGCCGATTCGCTGCTCAGGGTCTTCCTGCCCGCGCATCCCACCGTCGACATTGACATTCGTCTGATGTCTGGCTCCAGCATCGTTGACAAAAGTACCACCACCGGTGAGGAGATCCTCTACGACCAGCTTGGCAGCGGCGACTACGTGCTCAAGTTCCTCTACTTTGGCCAGGGTGGTCCTCTTCCCAAGGTCGAAGACTGCACAAGCTTCAACGCCGTCATCACTGCCGCCACCATCTCATCGCTCAGCAGCAACACCTTTATCACCTCGGAGTGCTCCAACGCCACGGCCACCATGCCAACCACTATCAACCCCAACCAGAACACTACCGTGACATACCAGCGTCAGATGCGCGTACCCACCCCGCCAACCGTCATGTCCTTCACGACGACCGGCCAGTCAAATCTCAAGCTGTGGTTGAAGTACAACGATCTTGTCGACTCTATGATGATCAAGGTCAACAGCACCACCATCGTCAATGGCAAGACCGTGTCCAAGACGTTCTACCCTCTGTACGAGAGCGGCAAGGCCACTTTCAACGAGTGGCTCCCAGCGGGAAGCTACCAGGTCACTCTGTACGACGCCTACCAAAAGTACAACCCAGTGATCTCGCTCAAGTGCGCCCAGTACACATTCTCTTACCTGCTCAACACCACTGCGCCAGTTACACCCACCTGTGACACGACCAACATGCTCCCCACCGACTTGTTCTCGCCCAACGGTGGCAGCGCCCCGTATGGCGGTCCACAGGCAGCCAACGGTGAGATCGTCATGCGTAGTGCCCGCTTCTACATGTCCAAGGACAAGTCGTACCAGCACAACAGGATTGCCTTCAACGTGCCC